CATTCCTCCGCCTTTTATCCCATTCCTATACTTTTATCTTCCCCCTCTCCTCCCTTACCCCATGATCATTCCCCCCATCGTCTTCCTTTCTTCTTTCTCTTCTTTGCTGCTTGCTTCTCCCATCTATATCCTTTCGGTAACCTCTTTTTAAATCGCCTCCCACCCCCCCCTTTCCTCTATCCATGTTTCCATCATCACCACCACCTCCCAATCTTCTATTTCCTTCCAGACTTTTCTTTCCTTATTCTTCATCTTCAGCCCTGCCACATTCCAAAAACCTATCTTCCATTCTTCTCTTACTTCCCCTCCTTTTTCCTTTCTCTCCTGTTCCTTTCTCCTTCCTTCCTCCGTCCCCCTTTCCTTCCTCCTTTCTCTTCTTACTTTGTTCTCCCCTCCTCCTTTCCTCCTTTTCTCTTCTCCCCTTCTTTTTCTATCCCTTTTTTTTCCTCCATTCCTGTCTTCATACCCCCTTCTTCCCCCCTCATTTTCTCTATACCCTTCTCTAATTTCTCCTTTCCAATTTTTTTAGCACACCTTTCCTCCTCTTCCCATCTCCACCATCATCATTGATTTTTATCCTTCCATAGCTCGTCCATACATTTTTCATTGTTTCCTTTCCTCCTTTCTATCTCCGCGATCTCCATTAGTCCCTCCATTTTATCTTTCTCTCTTCCCATGTTAAATCATCTTCTATTCTCACCCTCTTTCCTCTTAATATCTTCTTCCTCTCCATTACCTGTCTTTTCTGTTCTCCACTTCCTAGTTTTACTACCACCCATTTCACTTCACCTTCCTTCCTCCTTTCCTTTCAACATCCTTATCCATTCTATCTCTGCTTTCGCTCCTATCTCTTTCATTAATTTCTCTACTCTTTCCTTTACACCTTCCTTCCCTTTCTCCATTCTTTTTATTATTATGTTGTTTCTCTCTCTCTTCTCTTTCCTTCCATTCTAATTTCTTTCCTATGTCCTTCACTTTTCTATTATTGTCTCGTTTATATCCCCTTACTCTCCTCCTTCGCCCCCCTCTCTTTCTCTTACCTCCTTTCTTCTCTTTCCTTTCCTCTACTCTTGCTTCCAAATCTATAACTCTCTTCTCCAGGCTCTCTATCTCTTTTCTCAATTCTCTTCTTTCTTCTCTCTCCATTCCCCCTCCTTTTCCAAATTTCTATCTTCAATTTTCATTTCATTTCCTCTCCTCGCCTAACTTCTCTGTTATCTTCTCCCCTATCTCTTCCATCATTCTCCTTAACTCCTCCTTTCTATCCTCCCTACCTACTCTCTATTCAGCCTTTCTGTCTTCTTGCTCCTTCTTAGGCTTCTTTCTTTCTTTTCTTCCTTATCCTCCTCTCCCCTTCTTCTCTTTTCCTTTTCAAAAAATCCTCTATACATCCCATACTGCTCCTCCTCTCCTTCCCTAACTCCTCTACTCTTCTCGGCCTCCCTGCCTTCTTTTTTTTCTTCCTCATCTCCCTTTTTTCCCCCTTCCTCTAACATCCTATCTCTATTGATCTCTATCCTCCTATCTCTAATATTCTCTTCATTAATCATTTCCCTTTCGCGCTTTCTTCTTTCTTTCGATTCACCTACTCTATGCTCCAACTCGCTCCAACTCGCTAGTGAATTCCCTAGTGAATTCCCTATCTTTTTACTTTACTGCACCTACTCCCACACACCTACTACTCCTCTACTCTCTCTCTCTTCTCTTTCTTCCACGTGTCTACGTGTCCACGTCTCTCACCTTTTCCTACTTTCTCCTTTCTAACTCCCTTACCCTTTATCCTCTCCTATCCTTTCAATCTCTCCTCCTCTTTTTTCTACACCCTCTCACCTCTTATCTCCTATTCACCTCACCCCTTTTCTCACTCTTTCCTCACAAATACCTGCCACGCTTTCACACCCTGTCACTCACTCTCTTACCTACCGGAACCGAAGCCAAAATAAATGTAAACATCAATTAATATAATAACTGATGTTATATATATATTATATATATAAACCAATTTGTTGCAATATTCACTATAAAAGGTTGTAAGGGTAAGATGGCTAAAAGTGAATAATTTAAAGATAGTTAACATAATTTTACATAAACTGAAATATTTCATAAAATAAAATATTTGTAATATTTCGAAGTTTATGTAAGATTATGTAAAATTATACCTTTACAACTTTTTATAGTAAATATTGCGAGAAATCGATTTATATGAGAAAAATTAAGGTAATTCTATTTTGAAAATATAAGTGACTTTTAAATAACCTTGAAAATCGCCGTTTAGGAAAAAGTCTGTGTCAACTTTTTCTTTTTCGAAATCCTGCAACTTTTATCTAAATTTAATAGAAAATGTATAAAAAATGCTCGACATTAGTACACACACACACACACACACACACACACACATATGGGTAAATTTATATAAATAGGGTGCTTTAGGAGGAATGATCAGGATTCTAGGATATAATTGTACACACATTTTAAGCAAAGAAGTTTAGATAAACATGTTTAATAATTGTTCTATTCCGGTCATAAAAAATATACAAAAATGAATGATATAATCTCTAAAAACTCACCTTTAAAAAAAGGTAAAAAAAGGCGACCAGTTAAGGGCACGCCATTAACAAAAATTATCCATTGCAAACCCATGTAGAATCCTATGAAAAATTAATCATTGCAAACCCATGTAGAATCCTAGGCAAAATTAACCATTGCAAACCCATGTAGAATCGTACCCATTGCAAACCTATGTAGAATCCTATGAAAAATTAACCATTGCAAACTCATGTAGAATCCTATGAAAAATTAACCATTGCAAACCCATGTAAAATTGTATTAAAAATTATCCATTGCAAACCCATGTACAATAGAATTGTATGAAAAATTATCGATTATAAACCCATGTACAATCGTAACAAAAGTAATGAAATAAAAAAAAAATTGCGCCAAGTGAAAGTAGAAACTTGTACCAGTGGAAAATTAAAGTTGCAGACATATATAGAGTCGTATAATGAATCAGTAAAAATTTAAATTTGCAAATGTAGAATCGTACCATAAAAAAACTTATCTTTTAAAAAAAAAGATAAACAAGATGCCAAGTCCTATGCGCCATGTGAAAAAGAAATAAAAAAATTTTAGTTAAAAAAACTGGGCGCGCTGCTAAGTTTCAAAATTACAATGCACCTTAAAGTAACATTAATTAATTTAAACACAAAACATATTTTAACTGTAATGAGTTTAAAAGTAACAATTTAATTTTAATATTGTTAGAATATTATTTAGCAGCGCTCCCAGTTTTTTTAACTAAAATTTTTTTATTTCTTTTTCACATGGCGCATGGACTTGGCATCTTGTTTATCTTTTTTTTTAAAAGATAAGTTTTTTTATGGTACGATTCTACATTTGCAAATTTAAATTTTTACTGATTCATTATACGACTCTATATATGTCTGCAACTTTAATTTTCCACTGGTACAAGTTTCTACTTTCACTTGGCGCAATTTTTTTTTATTTCATTACTTTTGTTACGATTGTACATGGGTTTATAATCGATAATTTTTCATACAATTCTATTGTACATGGGTTTGCAATGTAGGATTCTACATAAGTTTGCAATGGATAATTTTAATACAATTCTACATGGGTTTGCAATGGTTAATTTTTCATAGGATTCTACATGAGTTTGCAATGGTTAATTTTTCATAGGATTCTACATAGGTTTGCAATGGGTACGATTCTACATGGGTTTGCAATGGTTAATTTTGCCTAGGATTCTACATGGGTTTGCAATGATTAATTTTTCATAGGATTCTACATGGGTTTGCAATAGGATAGGATTCTACATGGGTTTGCAATGGATAATTTTTGTTAATGGCGTGCCCTTAACTGGTCGCCTTTTTTTACCTTTTTTTAAAGGTGAGTTTTTAGAGATTATATATATAACTTGACAATCCTTCTGCGTGACATGTTGACTATTTCTCGTATTTTCAATCGTTTGACTTTTTTATATAATTTATAGTTTAATAATTATCAACAGTATTACTAATATGAAGATTTAATTTAATGATATATATTTGTTTACTTGAAAAGGACCACAATCACATGGTCAAAACGTAGTGAGTTTAATAAATGAAATATACGCTAGTTTGGTCGATTATTTCTACTATCCTATCCTAAAAAAGATATATTAATAATTATAATCTTGAGAAATATATGTATATTTTTAAGTCATAATGTGCTTTTTCAAATAGATTAACTTTTCTTCAGATGCATTCTATTTCCTTGAGTGATTAAAAAATAGATAATACCACTTTGTTGTGTATCTCTATTTCATTTTTATTGTCGTTATATATCTTTTCAAACAAGTATTTCAAAGAGTATGGTTTAAAAATATCTATTAGCTGATAATATCTATTTGATTTTGTGATGACCTTGAAAAGACCGGTCAAGGTCAACATAAAAATCTTAAATAGAAATGTCTATTTTTCATTACAAATTCTTGTAGGTGAAGTCAAGATTTAGCTAAAAGAATATGAAACAAAAAATAGATGTTTCTATTTAAGATTTTTATATAGATCTTATAGAGATCTAGACTGCATCTTTCAAGGATATCCCAAGTCAAAAAGATATCATCGGCTAATATATTTTTTTAAGCCGTACTCTTTTCGTTTGAAACATTTTCCAAATCAAGATTTTTTTTAGATATTTTGCCGTCAGGGAACTTTTGCCCCTCCTCGTATATAATATATGCATATATAGTTTATTTTTATTCATCTATTTGGAAGTATCTGAAACAATGTTTAGATGCCCAGTTATATAAAAAGCTTATATAAATTATAAATATGTGATTATAAATATAATTGTAAAAAATATATTTATAATTACCTTTTTTACATCAAAAGTAGTTTCGCAGCTAAAACTTTTAATTCTTTCTTTGAAATTTTTCCTGTATTTGTATGTGGTAACGCATTTACAAATATCACTCCACCACGAAGCTTATATTGATCCATCATGTTGTTGGTCACCAAGTCTATTAATTCTTGTTCCGTTACCTACACATATGCAATTTGATCATTATAAAATAACATAGTTGATTTTATACTCTGTGATAGAAAATAATTTGTAAAAATAACTAGTCACAGTTGTTAATAATTTGACTATAAAAATTTAAAGAAACCGCCCTCGAAATATTCTTAACATTATGATGTTATTTTTAAATTCTGAATTTCTTATAGAGTTCTATTTTGTGAACACTTTCTCTGCAGTCTTATTAAATTTGTAACAAAATTGTACCTCGACTCCTGGCTTCTTGACTACGAAAGCAACACAATGTTCATCGTCTATTGGATGAGGAATTGCTGTTACTGCAACTTCCGATACTGCTGGATGCGATAGTAAGACATCCTCAATTTCTCCAGGTGAGATTTGATATCCTCTGTATTTTATAAGCTCCTTTATTCTATCGACAATAAAGAGTTCTCCATCTTCATCGAAATAACTGATGTCACCTGAATGCAGCCATCCTAAAAAAATTGAGTTTATTTTTATAATACAATATATTATGTGATATTATTATTATTATTTGATATTTTGTTGTATCTTATTAATGTAATTTTATAGTATATGTTGATATGTATGATGTTTTGGAAAAAAATATTTTAGACTAAAGTTCTTTGACTTCAAAGGAGACAAAAAATAATGGCAAAGATTTGACCTTGGATATTCATTTGAAGATTACATGAAGGTCACCTTCAATTTCTTAAATGGAACCGACTATTTTTCATTTTATATTCTTGTAGTTTATCTCGAGAACTTTCCAAAATACTATAATAAAGTATTTTTCTCTTAAGTACTTATTGTAGTTGTATAAGTTTCGAAATTAACAATTTTTTGACAATAAAATGTAAAATCTTGTAATATATTCAGTTTTCGGTAAGCTTAACTTAACACTTTATGTACAGAATAATGAGACTAATCAATTGATATAAAAAAAATGTACACATAGTTGCTTAAAAAAAAATACGCAGCTGCATGTTGCTTAATTACATATTTTTTTTAAACTATTATCTGTTTTCTTTACACTACTAAAAACCCAATATTTTATAAGATATTTTATATTTTACGTAAAAATATTATTATCTTCAATTTTATAAAAAGTTAAATCGTAGTAAGTCAAGGCTCTTATTAAATTATAATAAATTTGATAAAAGGCTGTTAAGAGCAGTAAATATAAAAATTCAAATTATGTTTGAAAGTGAAGTCATATATAAAAATAATATTCTTTAATCTAATGTTATATATATATAATAATGAATTACAATAAAAGGTGACAAAAAAGAATTAAACATAAGTCCTCTTTAAATACAAATACAAAGCGAATTTTATATAAAAAGTATTTAAGAGAAAAATAGTGTATTATAGTGTTTTGAAAAGCTCTCGAGATAATCTACAAGAATCTTCAATGAAAAATAGTAGTTTCAATTTAAGAAATTGAGATAATCTTCATGTCACCTCCAAACAATTCTCTAAATCTTTGTCATTATCTTATGTTCTCCTTAAAGCCATACAACTTTTGTCTGAAATATTTTTTTCAGAAATATCATCCCTTCAAGTTAATTCGGGGTATCCATCTTTCTGGTAGGATAGAGCGAGGCTAGATGAGCATAGGGGCAAGTTGGATTTTGTTTAATGCTCGACATTCGTAGTTCAGAAATAAATTTGCACAAGTAAGAACGTAGCATAGCATAGCAAAGTTCTTCTCGCGAGTCATTTAGTTGTGATAAATTACTCAGTGCAAAGGCAAACACAGTTTATACATTTATATATATATAGTCACAGTTTATACATTTATATATTATATAGTCAAAGTTAAATTTTTGTTTGATATTATATTTGGTCTGAAGAGAAAACAATAACAAACTTGAAGTAAATAATTTTAATATTTTTTATTATTATATTCTTTAATACTATTATAGAAATAGTATACTTTTAAATAGTTTTTAAGTTACAAGGATATATTTTGAAAAGCACGTGAGTGGAATTAATTGGGACGCATTGTTCAATTTATTCCATACTAATAGTGTGTGTGACTTTAATGTGTCATATGTTAATTTTGCTGTTATTTATCTATTTTAAGATGCATATGTACTTACGAAAGACTAACAGAGTCACTTTTGCATTTTAAATAAATCCAAGATATTTGTATGCATTAATTGACAGAGATTCATAATTTTTTAATAAAAAAAACTATTCATAATAACTTATTAATGATTAGTTTAATTAATGGTTAAGTAAAAAGAAACCATCAAAGTTTTATAATAATATTATTATTTATTTTGAATATTTTCTGTTTTTCATCTCTTTGTTCAACTGGCCCCACTGCTGACTCAACTTATTCGGCTAGTGGGGAACAATGGACCACTCTGACACTCTTCATTTAAGATGTATTATTTTTGTTCTGGACATATATTTAAAACTTTTGCATATATAATTAAGAATTTAAATGTTGAACCCCTGTTTTGGTATCATTTTTATAATCATATTACAAATAAATAAATTTTATAAGAGTTCAAAGAAAAAGTTGCTCAACTAGCCTTGCTCTACCCTACACCCTGTATATGTATAATATAATGCAATAAAATAAATGTTTCTGATTTAGACCTAGAGTACAACATATCTTAAGCTCTTCAAAATCGGAGAGGGACTTTACTATTTCTTTTATAAGAGAAATCCAATTATTGAGTGGCTGATTTTTCAGTGAAATCTTACTGTCATAATTACTGAAATATAAAACAGTCGAGAAAAATGTTTTACTAAAGTTTAAATACTTTCTGATCTTTGATAAATTCTTGTCACTGTTTCAATCAGTGACACATTTTCACTTAAGCAATATTAATATTATATTTTATCAATTCATTTTAATCGAATATTGATTTACATGAATCATTATATTTATGTAATTTTTTAATATATAATAAGCAATTTTAAAAGGTTTTGGAAGTTAATCAGGATCATAATCTTGATTACATTAGACTCAAAATCACTTGGGAAACAGGGAAAAAGGATCCTAATTTGAAGATAATTATATGTATATATTTTTTACCTTGTTCATCAACGGTATTTTTAGTTGCTTCAAGATTTTTGTAATAGCCCTTCATTTTGTTTTCCGTCTTTATGTACAATTCTCCCAAGCGATTTGGTCCAAAAGCCTTTCCGTTTTCTCGGTCAACGATTTTCATTTGTACATTCTGAACTACTGTTCCGCAAGATCCATTCTTATGATTCAATTTTTGTAATGTTCCAAATCCACCAAGTTCTGTCATTCCTTGAAACGTATATAAATGATTACGTTTTCATTAAATATATTGTTAGTATTGTAGATATTTTGTCTCTTTTTTATTTTATTTATACATGTACGAGCTGGGCAAAATACTCGTGCTTCGCTACGGCTTGTTAACAAAATGTTCGTGTTTCAGGTACAACCGAACCGTTCCTATGCTCAACTTAAAATTTTTCCTGAATTAATATATCATTATTATATAAGCTATCATTTAGACCACAATTCGATTTGATTCACGAAGTCCACCAATCGGGCGAAAAAACCAGTGTTTTTGCGGATACTTTTTAATATCTGGATCAACTACGTGTCTATGAAGATATTATGATTTAGAGCCAATGAACTATTACTTCCAAACTAATTCAAAAATATAAGAATACATTTCGGAAAATAGTATAAAACACGTCTTTCTTTTTTTAAAAGAAGATTCTAAATACCAATTTTCACGTCTATAACATCTTCGGTTTTTGAGATGTAATAAGTATTCTCATAAAAAAATTCACTCCTACTTTTTGACTTAGGGATGGAATTTCCAAAAATCCTTTCTTAGTGGGTGCCTACGTTATAAAAACAATATACCTTCCAAATTTCAGCTTCTTAGATTTTGTGGTTCTTGAGGTTTCGTGATGAATGAGTGAGTCAGTGAGTGGTATTTGACTTTTATGTATATCGATATATTTCTTTAAAAAACAATGTGAAATAGTGTAATTTTAAACATTTTATGGTATAAACGAAACAAAATGTACTATACAAATGATTCTTGTTTAAATAAACACACTCTAACAAAGTTAAAATATTTGTTAAATTTTGAGTATGCGCCCAAAAATGCTTTTATCGGTGTGGATTTTTTACCATGTAAAAGGAAAAGAAATATAAACAAAAAATAGCAAAATAAATGAATATGAAGAAAATACATTTGAATTATTTTTCAAAACTTTTACATTTTTAAAATTCGAGCACTAGATGACACTAGTGACATAATTGTTAGTAATTTAAGTTTCTGATTTCACTAATTAGATTTTTACAGCTTATTTTTAATGCTTTAAATTTATTTTAAAGTAGTTTAATAATAACAACAATGTCAACTAACTGCGTTTTTATTAAGAAATTTCTCACTTGAAAAGGACCAAAAACAGATGGTCGAAACGTTGTGGAAATAAAATAAAAATTTTCTTTGGCTAGTTTGGGTCGAATTTAATATATCGTTCCTACTTTAAATTTATATATTATATATATTGATATTAAAATGATAACTTACCAAAACCTTGTAATACTTGTACATGTGATAACATATGTCTTATTTCTGCGTGTACTTTCAGCTTGAGTCTTGAACCGCCAAAGATTATGGTTTTTAAAGACGATAATGAAAATTTTTTTACGTTATTTGATATAAGCAACCGATTGATCATACTGGTGCTTAGGAAAGCCATAGTTATCTAAATAGCATAAAATTAAAAAAAAAGTTTATCACATAAGAGATCATATAAAAGATTTATACAGGGTGTTTCCGATACCACTGACGAGGTTAGGTTGTGCCGATACATACACATCATTATATCGGGTTGCCTATCTGCTTACCGACAGGGCCATGCTTTATGAGAAAAAGAAGAAGTCGACTTTATCACTCTATACATACAGTGAACACTTGTGAAATTGGATAATATAGATAAAATATATATTTAATAATATAGATAAAAATACATAAGTAAAATTTAATAATCTAAAATTTTATTAAAAAATATTTTTTAATTTATCTTTAATATAATTTTAACTATAAATATAATAAATCATATAATAAATTTTTATAAATATATGTCATATAATAAATTTATATAATAAATATAATAAATCATATAATAAATTTATTATATGACTTATTATATTTATAGATTAATTCTATGACTTATTATATTTACAGATAAAAATTATATTAAAGATAAATTATATTAAAGATAAATTTAAAAAATATTTTTTAGTAAAATTTTAATAAAATTTAATTATTAAATTTTAACAAGATAATGAAAGACAAGACAGTGGTGATAATAACAAGATGAGACTGAAAAACGACGAACTGGCCAGTTATGATAATCTTTATTCCGCAGCTACGTTTCGACCCTCAACTTGGGTCCTCTTAATTCTAATATATGTAAATAAAAGACCTTAATAATTTTCTTACTTTTTAATAATTCCCAAATTATTAATCCTTGTCACTAGTTATTAAAATAGGATAGTAGAAATAATTGACCAAAACTAGCGTATATTTCGTTTATTAAACTCACTACGTTTCGACCATGTGGTTGTGGTCCTTTTCAAGTAAACACTAATAATAAAATATATAATTATTAACATACGCAATTCAATTTTTCGACCATGTGGTTGTGGTCCTTTTCAAGTGAACACTAATAATAAAATATATAATTATTAACATACGCAATTCAATATATGACAAAAATTGAAACAATAAACTAAAATTACAATATATATCATTAAATTAAATCTTTATATTAGTAATACTGTCGATAATTATTAAACTATAATTATATAAAAGTCAAACAATTGAAAGTACGAGAAATAGTCAACATGTCACGCCGAAGGATCGTCAAGTTATATAATTAAATAACGTAGTGAGTTTAATAAACGAAATATACGCTAGTTTTGGTCGATTATTTTTACTATCCTTTCTTATTTTTTGTTTGACTGTGATATGGTCCTTTTAATTTTTATTAAAAAAAATGTTTAATTGTATTTCTGGTGTACTTTTAGACATTAATTTTTTAAATTCGATCCTTGAGAATAACTGCCATGTATCTCTTTTATAATTTCTATAATTTAAACGGTTATAGTAACAACCATGTTTTATTTTTCTTTATTTGAAGATATAAATACAACAATTGTACTATTTGTTATTTAGAAAAAATATTTCTTTTTTTATTTTTATTATTTTATGTATTTAGTCTGAAGAGGATCCAAGTTAAATTGAGAGTCGAAACGTAGCTGCAGAATAAATCATAACCAGTTCATCGTTTTTCATTTTCAACTTGTTATTAAATTTTACTTATATTATTTTATCTATTATTATTAAATATATATTTTATCTATATTATCTAATTTCACAAGTGTTGATTGTATGTATAGAATAATAAAGTCAATTTCTTCCTTTTCTTATAAAGCATGCTCTTGTCGGTAAGCAACTAGGCAACCCGACATAATGATGTGTATGTATCGGAAATACCCTGTACATTTGTATTATATTGTTATATACAAAAATGTAAAATATGTATATTTGTATTATAATATTATATACAAAAATGTAAAATATGTATTATATTATTTTATATTATTTTAAATATTTGTATTATATTATTATATACAAAAATGTAAAATTCATGTATTAATTGATATACCCAAGTATGCAGAAAAGTTTTAGCATTATTTTAATTTAATATACATATAATGTATAATATATTTTGTCATTAAACAAATTTTAACTTAAATTTTAATATTATTGATTCTAATAATGTTATAACATATAGCAATTTTTATATAATTGACTTTATAAAAAAATATATAATTATAGAGCAAATTGTCTTAGCAAAATAATTAAATTACGGCTGATCGTTCGAATTAGTCATTAAAGAGCCTAATCCCGAACATCAGATTTCTGTAGTTTTTTTAAATAAACGTTTAATTTTGTAATCTATGATGTAATAATGATATGTAATGAGCTGTGAAATAATTAATGACCATTTGATTGTGGTCCTTATCAAGCGAGAATTCTATCAATTAAATGCGATTAACACAACATAAAAACGACTCAGGAGTCGTTGACGAAACATCATGGAGATGAGAAGTGTTCCTCTTTTAACTATTAATTTTAAATAAGATCGGTTTTATGTTGTGTTAATCGCATTTAATTGATAGAATTCTCACTTGATAAGGACCACAATCAAATGGTCGAAACGTCGTGAATTTATTGAATAAAATTGCTAGTTACGTCGAAATTAATTTTACTAAGTTTATTATAAAAGTGTTTTATTTGTATACTTAAATAATAAATATATTATTATGCACGCAAAAAAGATATATGTATATTTGATATTTTTTGTTTATATAATTTAAATTTATTAACAGGAAATAATAATTTAATAAATACTTTTTTTAAAAGAAATTAAGAGAGATTTTACATAATATTGAAAACTTCAAATTTTGCTTAAACGAATAACCTATTTTTATAAAAGAATACTTGTACAAATATATAGGGTGGTAAATATATACCATAAACTGTTAACTCTTAACCATAATTCTTAACAACTTGGTATTTTGGAAACAATGCTTTCAATTTTAAAAGTTTTAGATCTTGATTTGTGTTGATTTGAAAATACTTCAAGCTCGAATAAATGTTTATCTTTTTTTCTTTCTTACCTTGTATTTTTTGATTAATAAACATAACATTTCTTCGTCGAATTCTGGATAAATGATCACTTTGGCGCCTTGAACGATCGCCATGAAGTTCATCATTACCCCTGTTATCCAATAAAATGTTGAGGACCAAATTGCGACTCCATCGATTAAGTCTACGTTCTTATCATCGCTGAACCGTAACAATGAATAATTGGATAATTCAACTCCTTTTGGTGGCCCCGTGGTACCTGATGAGTGCATGATGCACATTGTTTTTTTCATGTCATCGTGATCGACATACTGGAAATTCTCCACTTCTGCGTTGCTGTGCGTACGCAAAATATCGGAAAACTTAATGATGTCGGGATGATCACCGAAAAACCAACCGTAGGATTGTAGTTAAATTTTTTTATTGCACTCAGGATAACATTTACGGATTTCTTGCTGCAGAATATTACTTTCGGAGTAGTGAGCTGCATAACGTGCAGCGTGTTGTCTAATGACAAAAAGCGCACAATTAATAAAGAGAGTATATGAAATAAAACAGACTGTAAAATAAAAGAGACTAAATAAAATAAATAGTATAATAATAATAAATAAAAATATAATAATAATAATAAAAAAAAACATAATAAAAAATATAATAACCAATGTCATTATATACAACTAAATAATATAATATATAGAATCTAATTAATTCAAAGCAAATATAATTATAAATATAATTATAATAAAAAAATATAATAATATACATATTATATAATAATACATAATAAAATTTAATAATAATAAAATAAATATTATGAAATATAAATAAGAAATATAATTAAGTTAAAATAGAGAAAATTATATGTATTATTGTTAGAATTATGTCTTTCTGACTATTAATGAACAATAACGTAGTAATTATATGTAAAACTACGTTAACGCGGGAAAACTTACGCAAATCCATGTTTTCGTTCCATGGATTGAAGATTGCGTTAATATAAATCGCCGCTAAGCAGGGCACGATAGAATTGAGATGATTATTTGTGCACACACTGATAATATCGTTAGATTTGATTCCTCGTTCTTGTAGCCATAAAGCGCATCTTACGATTTTATTTTGTAACTCCGCATAAGTAACTTCTATTTCAGTGCATGCGTCCAGCTATAATTTTATTACCATTTTACAGAATATTTCAAAACCACCAAACGCGTACGTTTTATTCTATATTCTTTTTCGTTATAATTAAAAAAAGACATTGGGTGATTCAGAAATATCTTATTAATTGCATTCAAATTTACGACTTTTTTAAACTTAAAAACAAACTTACTTGGCATGAAAAGACTTCTGTAAGTTTATGCCTATATTCATATAGATATTTTTTAGGCTTATGAATTAATTAACTGATTTAGTGCGATAATATTCTGTACTGCACAATTTATCACATCCGAAAAAGTTATATGGACACCTCTTTCTAACTCACTTCTTTTCTCTTCATACAAAATTATAGGAATTATTGCCAATTCATCGTCCGTATATATAAACTGATTGTGAGTAATCTCAAAATTACTGATTCAAACTGACTGAACTGCGCGGATGTAAATAACCATCACTGATAGGTCACGGATGTCATTGACACGGTACTGATATGGTAGTGATACATTACAGATAAATGTTATTTTTTCACGAACTAAATATTATAATTATATGTCTCATCTTGATTTAATATTATCAACAAAGTTAAAAACAAATTTTAAAAATAAATTTTAAAAACAAATTTTAAAAACATTTTAAAAACAAATTTTAAAAACAAATTTTAAAAACAAATTTTAAAAACAAATTTTAAAAACAAATTTTAAAAACAAATTTTAAAAACAAATTTTAAAAACAAATTCTAAAAACAAATTTTAAAAACAAATTTTAAAAACAAATTTAGTAAAAAAATACATTGTATCAGTGGTGATTCATTAATGCTTCGCGCGTACTATTGCCCGGTTTTACGAAATAATTGTATGTAATTTTATTTTGATGAACTGTCAAATTATTTACTCGCGATTACAGCAGCTAGACAACACAAACGCACGCTTATAGTTTCTAATATAATTCACAATTAATTAATGTTTATAAATAACTTCTAACAACTTTACACAAAATAAAACTAAACATATTGATTTTTATGTGCCCGCACTTATTGTAAACAAAGTAGAAAAGAGAAAAGTTATAATTTAACAAATTTGCGATAATTGTGAATGTATAATTAGTTAGTACGCTTCATAATTGCTGGCAATTTTACATTGAAAATTGTACTTCTCATTTTTAATAATAGATATAAGTTTTTTCTCACAGAAATATTACATACACATTCAGCTTAAAAAAAAAAAAAAAAAATTTGACGAGTCTGTAAACATCAATATGTAAATAAAGCTATTAAAAAATTATGCTTGATACAAGCAGTTTAAAAAAATAAATATTTATAATATAAAATTAATTAATCTGTTATGAAATATCTATATGTATAATGGTGAAAATTAATAATTATTAATTTTTAAAGTTATAACTTTTTACTTTTTTATTTTGTTTGCAATAAATGCACATAAAAATCAATATGCTTACTTTTATTTTTGTAAAATATATTTTGTAAAATTTGTCGTCTACATCACTATAAGAGGGGTCAGAAAGAAACCTAGGAATAAAAATCTTTAATTGAGATTTATTCCTAAATATTCTTAGCAATGTGCTAAACAAATTTCGTGCCTCGTGCATAATTATAAACCAGCGAAAAAATTAATTTCCGCTGTCTAACGCGCAAACGTTTGCGTCGACTTACATAGCCCGTTTTATTTCGAGTTATTTTTGTAAAATTGTTAAAAGTTATTTATAAACATTAATCAATTGTTATATTGAATTATGTTAGAAATGATAAGCGAGCGCTTGTGTTATCTATAGAAGCTGTCATTGCAAGGGTCGACAATTTAATAGTTATTGCAAGGTAGAAGGAATATACATATATATATATGACAATAATATAATATAATATAAATATAAATAATACAATTTAAATAAAAAATAGTATTGGGCTAATTAAAAAATCATAAAAAACATAAGTGAGAAAATAATTTTCAATAAAGTTTTGTTATATAAATAAAATTTAAATTGTTTGATTCTGTTTTGTTTTCGTTAAGTCAAAATTAACAAAATAATATGACAAGATAAAATGTGTGTGATTTGAGATATAAGATTGTGCATAAGAAACTGTATGTATGCAAAATTTATGTGTTTATATTTTTGAACTTTATAGAATTAATTGAAAAACGAAATGCATGATTTTTACATTGACATTACATTACATATTTTTATCGATTATATTTGATTATATTTTAATGATTATATTTGTAATGTTATCTATTTTTTGTATAACACGTAATAATTTATCAACAGGATCAATAGAATTAATCAACAGTTATTGGAGATAGATACCGAAAAATGTATATATCTGAATAATTAAAACATACACATATCTGAATAATTTAAAAAATTCTTTAAAGATAATAACTGCTCGCGTTCTGTTTTCTAGGCTTTCATTAATAAGCATTCAATTAGTTCTCTTTTCTCTATATTTATTTTTTAATTTATTATTTTATCTAATTTACGATATATATGCTTGTCATATTTATAAATGTTTTTGAAGATAATAAAAATACAAATCAACGTTCGTGCAAAATTTAAAATTAATAAAACATAAAAAGTAGGCCAAATAAACGAGCCAAAATAATTTTGATGTAAAGATAATTAAAAATTATTTATTCATAATATAAATATAGACGTTTCGACCTTACTAGGTCTTTATCAATACAATTAACCGCAAGTATAAAATTATAAAATATAATAAAGAAATTTAAACATAATCTCGCAAGCTAAAGACAAAACTTTGATTATCATTAGATTTAATTACAATGGTTGAAACAATTATTCTTAGATGTCTTATGTTTAAGACCATCTCTCAAATAAATGCACGGAGTCCAAATTCGTCGTTGAAACAGCGCGAACAGTCTGTTCCGGCATCTTCACGAGATGAGTCCCATTTATTCAAGCCCTTTTTTTCCCACAAAATAGATATATTAAAAGAATTCCAATGAAGAACACTCCGAAAATTATAAATTAGCAATAACTTACATATTGATGTTTTGTGTTGGTTGTTGCGACTCAGCAATATCAAGGAATAATATGCGTCATTATTATATCAAAGCCTGTTTATATAGTCAATAGTGTTGTCAATAGTTAAAGGTTAATTTTTTTATTAAAAAAATGTTTAAGATAATTTTTCTAAAATGTCAAAATAACAGCTTTCAAGAGATTCGATGTCTTTCTTTAAATTTATACTATTTTTATGTTTTTTTATGTATAACATTTCAGAAATAAATATTTTATTATAGTTGATTTCATGATCTAATATTTCAGTCCCTTCCCAGTCAAAAGTGTGCTTATTATTTAAAATATGTTCAGAAATCACTAAATGTCTTGCAAAGTCTAATTTAAAATTGTTTTTATGTTCGTTAAGTCTGGTACGTAATTGTCTTTTTGTTTGTCCAATATAAGTTGCTTTACAGTCTCTGCAATTGATTTTATATACAACATTTGAATTGTTGGAGTCATCATTCTTGTCTTTAGGTGTTTTAATCCAGTTGTTTAGATTTACAAAACGTTTATAACTGTATGCAAATTTTTACCATGGAATCAAAATATTAGATCATGAAATCAACTATAATAAAATATTTATTTCTGAAATGTTATACATAAAAGAACATAAAAATAGTATAAATTTAAAGAAAGACATCGAATCTCTTAAAAGCTGTTATTTTGACATTTTAGAAAAATTATCTGACACACTTTTTTAATAAAAAAATTAACCTTTAACTATTGACAACACTATTGACTATATAAACAGGCTTTGATATAATAATGACGCATATTATTCCTTGATATTGCTGAGTCGCAACAACCAACACAAAACATCAATATGTAAGTTATTGCTAATTTATATTTTTTGGAGTGTTCTTCATTGGAATCCTTTTAATTTATCTATTTTGTGGGAAAAAAGGGCTTGAATAAATGGGACTCATCTCGTGAAGATGCCGGAACAGACTGTTTGCGCTGTTCCAACGACGAATTTGGACTCCGTGCATTTATTTGAGAGATGGTCTTAAACATAAGACATCTAAGAATAATTGTTTCAACCATTGTAATTAAATCTAATGATAATCAAAGTTTTGTCTTTAGCTTGCGAGATTATGTTTACATTTTTTTATTATATTTTATAATTTTATACTTGCGGTTAATTGTATTGATAAAGACCTAGTAAGGTCGAAACGTCTACATTTATATTATGAATAAATAATTTTTAATTATTCTTACATCTAAATTATTTTGGCTCGTTTATTTGGCCTACTTTTTATGTTTTATTAATTTTTGAAGATAATTTTCTGTTTGCTATTTTTTGCGTGTGATTGTTATTAGTCAGATACTGTATTTTAATTATATTATTTTTATCACTTTGTTTTTCTGTCCGCATAGTATTTCAACATAGTATTTTTGTTGATTAAGGAATTTTTTGATGAACAATTAATAATATATATAGTAATAAAGAATGCATACTCTTATCATTTTGAAACACTAACATTTTATGTTTTTTTTATTGTTCTTAGCTTTGCATCTCATGTTCAATTAATATATTAGTTTATTATTTCATATACGTTCAATTGTTTTTGAGAACTTTATTAGCACAGATTTATGTTGTGTATCTTATAAACATATTGATAGAAGAATGATTAATAATACACAGAACCTATTATTCTCTTATAATCATTAATATTTTTCCATAAATATTATACAATTAAAAAATGTTTTTTTAATTATTTTTCTCACTTATTGAAAAATTTATTTGTTACTTATAAGCTCGCAAATTTATTTTTTCCTAAAATGTCGGATATTTGTTATATCATGTATAAGTATCGACTTACGTGTGCGATTTTGTTTCCATGACTTTTAATCTTATTCCATATCATTTCTCCAATAGACTTATAGTTAGGCATAGATGTTATTTCTCCTTTATAAACATTGTCTTCCATAATAAAAGTCTAAAAATAAAATAGATAAATGTAGTTATTTTAAAAAAGACACAATACTTACAAGCCTTTGTAAGCTTTTGTAGCAAATTTGTCTTTTATTATATATTGTAATGTATATTACGCTACGTTGACAGTGTATTTTTATTTAAATATTATGTAAAAAATTAAATTATTATTTAATTAATTATGCGTTTTTATATTTACTCTTGAATCGTTCGTAGCCATTTTGCCAGATGATGGAGTTTAGATGCTGGTATAAAATAAACACAATTAAACAGCAAGAAATGTTGTTTGGTCAATGTGTCCAATCACAACTAAAGACTTGATTTTCGTTTCGTGCGTTTGAGATAACATCAAATAAGAATCTGTTAGATCTGAGAATAGTACAAAGAGACATTATAACTTTCTTCAGACGTTTGGTAACGGAAAAGTTTTATATTTTGTGTTTGAGTTTTATTGACAATTAGTTTTGACAAAAGGACTAAAAAACAAAACATTATAGACATCCTTTATAAACATTGTCTTCCACAATAAAAGTCTACAAATAATAGATAAATCTAGTTATTAAAAAAACACAATACGAGCCTTTGCAAACTTTAGTAGCAAATTTGTGTTTTATATTTGTAATCAATATCATGCTACGTTGATAGTGGATTTTTATTTAACTATTTTATAAAAAGATAAATTATCTAATGCATTTTTATATTTACCCTCGATTTGTTCGTAGCCATTTTGCCAAAGATGATGGAATTTTTGATGCTAGGTATAAAATGACCACTATTAAACAGCAATTATTAACAGTAATAAAAATGATTTTTGATCAATGTGTCAAATCACAACTAAAAACTAACTAGATTTTCGTTTCGAGTGCTTGAACATTGAAGGATTTGTTAGTATTGTGATATAGCAATTTAACAATAATCGTTTAGTGTTTCTTTTGTTTGTCACAGTAATTTTTAATGTGACGCAGACTCGTCAAGTTATTATTGACCTTAAATTTGTTTTGCGCAATTTTGAATTTATGAGAAATTTTCATTTATATTATACGTTGTATAAAATATATTGTACTAATTAATGAAATCTTTAATCACACTTTGCATTTTCATTGATTATAATTAAAAGTATATAATTATCTACTTACTTAGTTGCCCTGATTTTGAATTTATTATTAAACAATTAAATTTTTAAACTGTATTTAATATCTTATTTTATTGAATTATTGATATTTGTTTCGATCAAAACTGACTTAAATTACACATTTTTCTTTATTAGTTATAAACACTATGTTTCGACTATTGGATTTTGATCCTTATCAAGTGCTACAAGTAATACAATATCATTAATCAATGATATTGTGTTACTTGTAGCACTTAATAAGGATCAAAATCCAATGGTCGAAACGTAGTATTTATAAGTAATAAAGAAAAATTGTAATTTAAGCCAGTTTTAGTCGAAACATTAACCTTAATTTTTTATAAATTTAACGTATAAGACGGGCAACAAGAGCCAAATCGCGGATGACAATGCGTTATCCTAACGAAACTAAATAATTTTTTTGTTAGAATTAAATACCGGTGCACAAGGCACCAAATTTTACTTGGACACGGCCAAGATTTTAAATATGAAATAATCTCATATTTGAGATTTTAATTTCAATACCCCTTTTAACCCCCCTACGGAAAATAAATAAATGAATGCAAGAGAAAAATATAGATCCGAAAATCGCTGAATCGGGAATCGAACCCGAGACCTTTCGCTTGCCGGACGACTGCTCTTCCAACTGAGCTATTCAGACCCTTTCAGCGACTTTCGGATCTATATTTTTCTCTCGTATTTAATTATTTATTTCGATAGGGGATCAAGAGGTTTTTGAAATGAAATCTCAAGTAAGAGATTATTTCAATTTTCAAAGTCTTGGTTAGTACACCAAGAGTAATATGTGCCTTGTGCACGATTTGTTTCCATAACAACATCCGCGTTTAGCTCTTCACGCCTTCTTACAATTTAGATTTATATAAAATTAAATGTTTGTTAGAGTAAGAAAGTACCATTAGAGCTATCGATTAGGACAAGTGGGGTTATATATTTGTGGTAATGGGATACTTTAAGAAATTCAGTTGAATTCAGTTACGCTCGATAATGTTTCTGCTAATGTATTGGAAAAGAATAATTGATTTTTACAAATCAATTACCCCTTTCCAATCAAATTGGAAAGGGAGGAAACATTTGACATTTTTGAAAAATTTGATTACAATGTTTTAAAGAACATTAAAAACCTTAAAACTTTTATTTGAAACATTTTTTTATATCTTTTACCGTTTCGACGGGGTGTTTTATCTCCTAAACGTTGAGATACGCCGCTAAAAAAATACGGATCTAATATTTCTCAATGTTTTACAACATATTCAAGGCTTATTAAAATCGGTGAGGGACACTTCCGATCGTTCTCTTGCAAGAGATTTTTTTAAGAGATCTCATTTGAGAGACTTCTTGAAATTGTTCTCAGTAAGTAATAAATATTTAATCAACATTTTAAAATGTTGATTTTATGTAAATTTTCTAAACGTTATGATATAATGTTTTATAAATATGTTTAAAATATTATTAATAAATTTTTTTTTAAATATTTTAGCTAATGTTTTATAAATGTTTTAAAACTATTATTTAATAACACATTGCTTTCAAAATATTAATAAAATATTTTAAAAGCGTTAATTTCAACATAACCGAAACCTCTAAATCGATGTCAAACTTTCTTCATAATGATGTTGCATACAATTACATACTTAAAAACTACATACTTGACAACAATAATAACGTTGTAGCAATGATTTTTTAGTGGGTTATCTTTTTGATATCATGTTAAGTGATATCAGTTTGATTTTTATGAAAGATCTCAGAAAACATTTTACGCACAAATACCTATATAGTCATTGCATACAAAAGCGGCTCATACTGCGCAAGCAACACTTTATCCTAGTACGTCGTCATAGTGATAGCAAATACTAGCACACTTTGCGCACGATTTCATCTCGTTATAAGCATGCAAGATGAGCACATTCAGCAAGCATATTGCACGCATTATTACATCACTGGCATATTTTTGGCAATTTGATATCCATTTGCACATGATTTGCTGATGTATCAAATAATACATAAGCTAATCATTTGCATGCAATATGTACGACTAAACATATTCCACATGCAAAACTCAGGCAAACACAGTTTATATGCATAAAACGCGCAAATTTTGCACGCAAAAATTGTCATCTGAAATATCATTATGATGTGTGATTTCTGAGCCTCAAAAATACGCATGCGCTGTTAGGGCAGCTCAGAAACCAGACATAGTTGATATTTTTAATGAGAGATCTATTTAGATATCATTTGAATAATATTATAAAAATAACATTTTAAAGAGGCGAGTTTAACTTAAAAATTTTATGTACTAATGTTAATAAAATATTATTGCTAGTATAATATTGTATAATAGAAAATAATATTTAATAAATGCTAGTGTGCGATATAATAAAATACAGAATAAACGAGTCATTTCGCAGTAAATAAGACGTTTACACAAGTTCACACATAATACATTCATAAATATTGTGACCGAAAAACATACTCTTGGAACAAAGGGTCGTGCACAGATCCTTACTGATGACTCATTACAAAAGAACTAAACTTATTTCTATTTTCAGGATGTAATGCTTACCAGTAACTACTTTTTACTTTTGAGTAATGTCGTGACGTTAAAAGGAGCACATTGATTGCACAGTGTCTTGATTGTACGAGTGGCTCGCAGTGTTCTATTGTATTATCCACGACACTAATGATGTTGTTCTCATGATCTCATGTTCTCATGTTCTCATGACATAGCATGAAGTAATTATATCATTAGCATTAAGAAATACGATAGAAATCTTCCCCTCTACTTTTTATATGCACCTGATAAGATTATTAAAACATGACAAACATGTATAAGCAGAAAACACTGCAAAGATAAATATGACGACATATAAAATATTTTTCTCTACAAAATACAAACAAAAGAAATAAAAATAATTACAGAAAAATGAAAATTGCCGCTCAGATAAAATCCATATATCGATATATTGTTAAATCAGTAAATAAATACGTAAATAAAGTTCGCTTCAAAACTTCATTACATAAATAAAATAGACGCGTTTGGCTAAATCGCATATACTTGAGGATTCGATGATTATTTGATTTCATTAAAATATTTCTAACAAAAAATGTATTACTTTCTATTAATATTTTTATTATTATTTTTATTATTATTATGTTTTTACTTTTTATTTTTAAATTTACTAGACAACACAAGCGCGCGCTGCGTGATTATTATTGTTATTATTTATGTGCAATTGTAGATTTTCTGAATCTTTTGAATACAATATTAATATAACAACGTATTCGATAACTACTTTGTCACATAATATGATTATCTTCCTATATGTAAATATATTAGAAAAAAAATATTGATTATATATTATCTTTCAAATACTCATAATTACTGCCATATCTACTGGTTTCCTGGCTATTAAAATTACGCGCATTACGAATAAGAGCGATAAGCCACTGATATATTTTACAATATTTATTACACTTACACATAAACTACATCTGTTAACAATAATAAATGTTTAACAGTTATAAATATTTTATATTAGATTGTTCTATACAAAATATCTGATTTTGAAATATAAACTTTTTAAAACTTTCTTTTTCAATAAAAATCTTTATTTTTGTATACGTTTTATATATCATTTTAAAGCTCAAAATTCGCTTTTTTGTATCTAATTTTATTCTTCGATTTAATTGATTTTGAATGTACTCTTTTCAACATTCTTTTCAATATAAATATACAAAAACATTACAACAATCTTTCACCGCAATATTGCAATATTGCAAATTCACTGCAAAATGTTGCTACATCATTGCTGTTGAATTGCAGCAATGTTAAAATGTCCGCTTTTTAGAAGATTGCAACAAAATATTGCAATGTTATGAATTTGCAATAATGCATTGTTATTGCAACCATAAACTAATGTTGCATATACAAGTATATAAATGTAAATAAATTATTAATGAAAATACGTTGTAGTTAATTTATATATATTACAATATATAAATTATAGAATTTGGATTACATGCAATATTTCCGAAATATTAATGTCATGTTGCTACAAGTGTGCTGGAATTTTGTGCACCTATATCTCTGCAATGTCTTTATAATGTTGCATTGCAACTTGCAACATTGCAACGTTGCTGCAATATAATTGCAATAATCTGTGCTGTATGGATAATTTTCGTGGGGATGCCGGAGCGTTGGCCGAACTCCGACGGGTTAGCGCCCTCATCTAAGCGGAACTAAAATTGTCGATAATTACCGACAATTTTAATTTCGCTATTATCGGCAGTTTCCATATATTAAAATTTACATGCATGTAAAAAAAAAAACAATTTTATTGTGTTCAACATTATATATTTTTTAGACAACATAATATATTTTTACTGTTGAATCATCTCGCACAAGCGTTTTTATCTAAGCGTGTCAATGACAGTAAAACATACATACACAATTGTGTCTATCTTTATCACATAGTTTGAACACAATAATATTATATATATATATATATATATATATATTGGTTTTTTTGCTTATATATTTACATGCAATTCTTATATATATAATATATATATCATTCACATGTGTATGTATGAATATAATTACTTATCATTTACATGTGTGTGTATGAATATATTTACTGAGCATTCACATGTGTGTATAAATATATTTACTGAGTGTTCTAAATAAAACGTTACAATTTTTATTTCTAAAAGTATAATTTTTAGAAAATAATGCTGCAAATAAAAGTTCCAGTATTTCAACAGAGATATATACATACGTAGATGTTACAGAAATGTTTGTAGAAGGCAATTTTCAATATCATTAGTCAATTTGATTATTTTTAATTCTTATTTTTTAAATTTACTAACAACAACAAGCGCGCATTGTATGATTATCATTATTATTTACATGCAATTGTAAATTTTTGAATTTTTAATTACATTATTAATATGTATATATATATATATATATATATATATATATATATATAAGTATAACGTATTCGATAACTGCTCCGTCACATAATGATTATCTTCCTATAATTTCATCATCTTTCTAAACATTATGACTTGCTATCAATACGTTCTAAAAATAGTGATTTGCGGTTTAACTCTTTTTACTAACATTGTATAATTGTTATTTAATTACATAACATTTAAATATATTTCTCATTTAGCATGATCCTCTTTTATTAGACATTAGTATGCTATAACAATTAATAAAAATATAACTAGTAATTAGAAAAAGTGTATTTTGAAAGTAAATTAGCATGCTTTTTTCTCTTTTTAATTAATTAATATTATATGTTAATATAAAATTAAAACATTTCAATGTTACTACCTACTAATAGTTAGTAAAAAAGCATTGTGTAAACTGTATCATTAATTAATTAATTATTAATTAATCAAATAATTGTAAATATGTTAGAGAAAAAAATTGATTTTATATTATTTTTCAAATACTCATAAAATTTATTGCTGACCCATTATATGCTAAATGAAACAAATCAGAAGAAACGCAAGCTAATTATTCGCAGAACATCAATTGATCCGTTTTTTTATCAAAACAATAATCGAGATTAGTATAATCCGCTTAAACGCAAGGTAAAATAGCCATTTATTTTAGATGTCTCACATGTATATCACTTATTTTTGATTGCCGTCTTTTATATTTCTCTTTTCTAAGAATTGCTCCTTAACATGACATTGTTATTACTATTACTAAATTCATCTTATAACCCTAATTGTCTTAATGCGTGCATTATTTCTGATTAAAAATCATTTAATATTTAAACTTAGAATATGTAATTTTGAAATAAGGAAAAATTTGTGAAGAAAAATATAATGAAAATATTATATTAAGATACATATATATATATAGTTTTCTGCACAAAATAAGATTTGCTCTACAAAATAAATGGTTGAGCGAAAAAAGTTTATTCTAGTAAATTATGATATAAAAGAAATTTGAAAAAAAATAGAACAAAAATAATATTAAAACATACATATATACATATACAAATATATCGATATCGTCGCGCTTTTGTTTCGCGTTTGTCTGAGAGAGAATGTCACTTTATTAAAATAAAATTCAATTATCAGTATTCTCTATTCTTCTTTTCTTTTCACTGCCCAAATTCCACTTCTTCCAAAAATTAAAAGTTAACATAATTGTTGAGATTTCATTAATATATTTTCACAATCAATTTATTCAAGAAAAAGGTGATTTACAAAGAAAATAAATTACGTTCACAATTTTTCAAACGTTAGGCTCGCGTGTACGGTATTATCGAAGCACGCGCGCTTAAGAGAAAAGCAATCAGATAATTTAAGAAACTACTATAATATGCAAAAACATATTAGAACAATGATAATTAATCAAAAGGAATTATGCAACTATCAAAATTCAAAACTTTTTTAATAACTAACATAGGTCTAGAGATACTTAACTATATATTTAATTCGCTCGCTACGTAAGCCAACGTCCATATGCTCGCGCTGTCCGCACTAGAGAGAGGGATTATCCGTAGATTAGGCTTCGATATACCCTCAAAGTTTATTAGTATATAATAACCAGTAATTAAATATAATTAATTATTGTATACATTTGCCAGTTTTCTAGCTTTTGTTTTCAATTCTATTCTGGCAATTTTTACTGAACCAGTATATGGAAAAGCATCTAGAAATATTACTCTAGCTCGAAGCTTATATTGATCTTTCATGTTATTGGACACTAACTCTATTAATTCTTGCTCTGTCACCTATATATAAAATAAATATATATTATAATTTATCTTATTATTCTATGCAGAAAGTTATTAAGATAAATTTAAAAAATTATTATATTACAAAAAAAAAAAAAAATATAATTTTCGAAAAATTTCAATCCAAAAGTTAAAATATTGGGTCTGTGCATAAGTTCGTAGCGAAATTCCGTGAGATGTCGTTTTTTCCACTCGCACATGTTTCAAACGTAAGATGTCGTACATTAAATGAAAGCTGCAATTTGTGCTGACATTTTACGAAAGTTCATTGAGTGTTTATTGATTTCCGTGACGTGTATAAAGTTTAATTATATTTTGAACATGGAAGGAAAAAACGTATATTTTCGGTGCATTTCGCTTTTTTATTTCCGGCAAAACTTTCCGGCAAAGAGAAAAGGCAAAAACGCGTCGCAAACTCACAAAAAGATATGCGCCGTGTACGGAGAGAATGCCGTAAGTGAAAGTGTGTGTCGGAAGTGGTTCCAAAAATTTCGTTGCGGAGATTTTGATCTCCAAGATGCTCCTCGCTCTGGTCGACCAGTCACTACTGATCTCGATCAAATCAAGGCTTTAATCGACTCCGACCGACATTTGACGACTACGGAGATCGGACGTAACCTAAACATTGATCATTCAACTGTTTCAAGACATTTACGGAAGCTTGGGATGGTAAAAAAGCTTGATGTTTGGGTGCCGCACGAACTGAGCGAAAAGAATTTAATCGACCGAATGTCAGCTTGCGATTTGCTGCTCAAACGCCATCAAAACGAACCATTTTTAAAGCGGATGATCACTGGCGATGAAAAATGGATCGTCTACAACAATGTCAGTCGAAAAAGATCATGGTCGAAGCCCGGGGAGGCTGCTCAGACGGTCGCAAAAGCTGGGTTACACCCAAAGAAGGTCATGCTCAGCATCTGGTGGGATTGAAAAGGCATAGTCTATTATGAGCTGCTGCCACCCAACCAAACGATTGATTCGACCAAGTATTGCTCACAACTGGACAAATTAAAGCGAGCAATCGATCAAGAGCGACCCGAATTGGTGAACAGAAAGGGCGTTGTGTTCCACCACGACAACGCGAGACCACACGTTTCTTTGCTGACCCGACAAAAGTTATTGCAGCTTGGGTGGGATGTTTTGGTGCACCCACCATATAGTCCGGACCTTGCACCTTCCGACTGTCACTTATTCCGATCACTACAGAACAGTTTAAATAATAAATCCTTGAGTTCCCTGGACGTTCTCAAAAATCACTTGGAAGACTTCTTTGCAGAAAAATCTCAAGACTTCTACAAACGAGGGATAATGAAGCTTGTGGATAGATGGCAGAAAGTCATCGAACAGAATGGGACATATATAGTTGATTAAGATCGCTTTTTAAGGTAAAAATTTTGCGTTTGAAATTTATTCGATTTTCGCTACGGACTTATGCACAGACCCAATAGAACATCTTGCATATATGAAATAATCTTGCAGATATTGTAGAATAATGGACACAAAAATGGAAAAATTTCTTATGTAAATATAAATAAAAATTACAATAATTTTTTTATTTATTTGTTTCTTAGAAAAGTGATTTTAAAATTCCATTAAGTACGAGTGCATTTGATTAACAAAAAAATCTGTTTAATGGATGTCGTTACGTACTATTATATTATTTCTATTCGTATTTATGAAGAATGTCACGTATTGTCTATTATTATTTTCAATTTTTCTCGTAGAATTATAAAATAACGAAATACTAAGGCTAATCAAAATCGTCTTTAATTTTTAATATAATATATAAATAATTAAAGAAATAAGGATTCAGAGCACATTTTATTATCTCATGCTTTTTAATTCATATCATACGTGAAAAGGGTCATATTTTTAGTCATTTATGATTTAATAAAATAAATGCATCATTATATTATATTGAAACTTGCATGTATACAAAAAAATCTTAAGAGACCATTTTTTCAAAGAATTATGTAAAAGATTTTCTAATTTACATTTTTAAAATAAATCATTTTACTTGCGCTACATAATTTTATATATTTTGTACATGTAAAATTAATATTAAAATTTATGTAATTTAACTAATACATATTTATATTATATTAAAAAATAAAAAAATGTACACATCTGTCTATTTCTAAAATAGTTAAAAAGTCAAATGAATAAAAAAATAAAATTAAATATTTTGTTATAAAAAACTTTTAAAGAAATTAATCAAAGAATTTTCAAAACTTCTCAAATTAGTAAATTACCATTTTATAGAATCTCGCTCAGTGATTTTATTATCATTGAAATAAGATTATACCTTTTCACCGAGTATTTTTGTAACAAAACCAACAGGATGTTCACCATATACTGGATGAGGTACTCCTACTACTGCAGCTTCTATCACTGCTGGATGTGTCGCTAAAATACCTTCAATTTCTCTAGGTGAAATTTGATACCCTCTGTACTTTATAAATTCGTCCATTTTATCGATAATAAAAAGTTCTCCGTCTTCGTCGAAATAACCAATGTCACTGGAATGCAGCCATCCTAAATAAATTCAAATTTACTTTTATGGTATTGTGGCGATAAATATCATAAAAAAAAGCAAAGAAGAATTTTATTGAAAATTAAATTATATCAGAGAATAAAAAGAGTTAAAATAATAGGTATATATGAACAAACGTCGCGACCAAGGATACAAATTAAAAAAACTATAATAACAATTATAAAAAGCGTGCGACCGACACGACTAATACGAAGTAATAAATAATAAGACCCAAAGATAAGGAGAAAAACGTTTAAGCGTTTTAACGTTTATATATTAATTCACGTCCGTATCACAAAAATTGTTGTTCTTAATAAAACTTCTAAAATGTATTCTTGTATTATCGCTATTGAATAAATTGAGGTGGTGATGATGATTAAATATGATATAAATAATTCTCCTGACTTCTCCACATATTCATTCTTGCACGCATTAACACAAATAATCCACAAAATGGTAACCCCGATGTGATCTTAGTGCGAGAGACGGAAGGAGTGCATACGAACAGAGTGACACCGAAATCGTGGAGTAAGAAGACAGCCGAAAAGAATGAGAGTAATGGTTTTAACCCATGACGATAAGGTTGGGCCACCGCCACGAACGGAGATGCAACAACAGCAGCAGAATACGGTAAACCTCAGGTCTTTGATAGAGATGGATCGACCATCTCCGTTATTTTTACCGAGCGCGGAAATAAATCGCGTAGGAATGAGAATGTCAGAATTTACTCCAAGCGATCCAAAACTCTGGTTTAGAATAATCGACTAAAGTTTCCAACCGGCTGGAATTACGACGGATGCTACGAAATTCAGTTATGTGCTTACGGCAATCGGACCGCGACATACAGTGGAAGTACGAGATATAATAATAAATCCGCCAGAACGAGCGTACGAAACATTAAAAAACGAGTTAATAAAACGCCTTAGTTTGTCGCAAGAACATAAAACGCGACGACTCCTTGAACATGAGGAGATTGGCGATCGGAAACTGTCTCAATTTTTAAGACATCTCCGCGGACTGGCCGGAAACGTGATAGATGAGGTGTTCCGTACCATTTGGTTAAGCCGATTGCCTGCGTACATACAACTGCATTTAGTAACGCGTATGGACGATACATTAGAAACGCTCGCGGATATGGCAAACGCGATAGTAGAAACAACGCGAGCACCCATGTTGCAAACCACGGAGGTTCATGAATTTGCAGATTACGCAGATGCGATTGACCTTGCAGAAGGAATTGATGGAACAAGTAGCGGAGATTCGAAAATCGATAGAGACGATTGGAGAGAGAGCATCGCGCCGGAGTGACGGAGGTTACCGTCGTCGTCGGGAGCGTTCTTGATCGCGGTCGAGGACACGCGGCCACGTCTCAAATAACCTGTGTTATTACCATTGGCGATTCGGACCGGAGGCGCGAAGATGCGATCCTCCCTGTACCATGCAACCGCAGAGAAACACGGCCCATTGTTGATGACGGCTGGCGATTCAGATCAGGCATCGCGCCGTCTATTCATGTTCGATCGAGATACTAAGATCAGTTTTCTGATCGATACAAGTGCGGATCTTTGCGTGTTTCCCCGTAAATTAGTGCGTGGATTACAATAGAGATCGTCGTATGAGTTATTCACCGCGAACGGTACGGTGATATACACATATAGCACATAGACGCTTACGTTGGATTTCGGACTGCGACACACGTTTGCTTGGAGATTCGTGATCGCAGACGTGGAAAATGCTATTATCAGAGCGGATTTTTTATCCTTCTATGGACTCGTAGTCGATTTATGAAATCGCCAGCTGGTCGATCAGACGACGAGTCTTACGGCTGTCGGACGTGTGTGTGATGCAGCGTACCGAGCGTTAGAATGGTCACGGGAGCGACACCGTATCACGTGATATTTATAATGTTTTATACTCTTTAAAATGGTGTAATAACACATGTTACAAAATTTTCATATTTGTTAAATTACCACCCCATCCCCATCTATTATTTTGCAAAAAAAATTTGTGTAAAGAAAAATTGAAGAGCATTGAACGCCAAATCCACTCATATACATATATTAATATTATGTTTCTACTTTCCATGATTCAATTGTTGAAAAAATGAGATGATAACGTCGTACTATAGGCGCCGAGATTTTGCATTATATTCTTTTTCAGTTGCGCTAACCTAAATTTAAAAACTTGATTTAAATTCTTGATAAATGTGATTGCGCTATTTTAAATCTATATATCTATATATGTATATAAGTACCGTTCGTCTGTCCGTCTGACCGCAAACTACTTTTACATTTGTGGACCGATTTTCACCAAATTGGTGCCAAAATTTCGCAAATTTTTCGGGGATTGTGATAATGTAGTTTTTTTTTAAGATTTATATCTCTACCCACGCATCTACGCACGCGCATGCGCATTTGTGAATCAATTTTTACGAAATTAATACCAAAATGTTGCAAATTTTTCGGAGAAGACTGATGTGTGTGATTTTTTTATATTACCCACGCATCCACTCATGCATTCACATATTTATTCACTGATTTTTTCAAAATGTGTACTAAAATTTTGTAAATTTGTCAGAGATGGCTACTGTATAATTTTTAAAAATTTTAATTACCCTATTCACCAACCCACGTGCATGCGCATTTATGGACCGATTTTCACGAAATTGGTACCAAAATGCAAATTTTTCTGAGAAGGTTGCTGTGTAGTTTTTTTTTAATTTTATCCCACCCACACATTCATACATTTATTTACCGATTTTTTCGAAATTTGTACTAAAATTTTGTAAATTTGTCGGAGATGGCTACTATATTTTTAAAAATTTTTACCACTTTATTCACTCACCCACGCACTCTCTCATTAATGAACTGATTCTCTCGAAATTTTAAAAAAAATTTTGAAAATTTTTAGAAAAGAAGGCGACAATTGCGATTTTTTTAAGTTTTACACCTCTACCCATGCACCCACTTACGCAATTACAAAATTGACCGAATCCACTCATCCACGCAAACATATATTTATTGACCGATTTTCACGCAATCTATACCAAAATTTTAAAAATTTTTCGGGAAAAATAACCGCTGAGGTTCATTATCATTATCAATCGCTCTAATGACTATATCATACATGTGTTTTTGTTCATCATAAATTAAATCATCGTAGATTAAGGTAGTTCTATCGCTACAATATCAACTAAAAGTTTTGCCTCTAATCGATAAGGAAATTTATCGTTTATACAATGTTACCGTAGCAACAATTTTAGTTGAGTCTGTACAGTCTGAACTTCTTCACATAGAAACAGCTCATGTATGAATACACCACTATCACATTTACGAAGCGGCGTGTTAATCGTGGCAACATCGCAGTTCTGTCTCTTATTTTTTTAAGAAATATTAATTTTTTAAAAGAATTTATTAATAATGTCAGATCAATTGCGTTTTAAAGGTCGGTTTGTAAAAAAAGTCTTGATAAACAAAAAAAAACCGTTGCGGCAATGTGCATAGCAAATACTGCTAAACGTGAACAGGTGCCACATAATCTCACTGAGAAATCACAAACATTTCAATTTGAAGGCAGACGTATTATTGATATGAGTTATGTTGCCAAACATTTAATATGCTGTAATTGTAAAAAAGACATCCCACTGAGAAAAACAATAAAAGAGACGCAAATGGGTTTAAATTCCATTTTATATATTATGTGTGATGAGTGCTGTATCATTACACAAGTTCAAACAAGTAAAACACATATTCTCAAGATAATTCAAAGCATGCTGATGTCAACATCAAAGCTGTATTGAGTAAGTAAATTTTATATTAAAAAAAAAACAAATTATGTAGATAAATAAATGTAGATAATTAATTGAGAGAATATTAAAAGATTCATTGAATTTTATATCTCATCAAATTATAATGTAAAAATGTATTTTTCAGGCTGTCTATTCTGGAATGGGGAAGACTGCTCTAAATAAATTACTCTCATGTCTGAATGTCCCTTTGGTCACCCCTAATTTATATAAATGATATGAGCGAGAGATTGGTCCAGTTTTAGAGGCTGTTGCGAAAGATTCATACAAAAGAGCTGCTGAAGAAGAGAGACAATTAGTTACAGAAAATCTTCACAAATTATCTAAGGAGTTGTACGTTTTTTGTTGTGTTATCAATAAGCAAGGAGAATATAGATAAATTTTTTTTAGAATTAAAAATTTTTTTTTAGAATTCTTTTAATGATGTTTTTATTTTTTGTAATTATGATAAATAAAGAATAATAAATTTAAATTTTTTTAATAAGCAATTGAAAATTCTTTACATCCTTTACATCTTGTATTTCTATTCGTTTTTTTCTTAGACCAAAGGAGATTGTGAATGAGCTCTATTCATTTATGAACACCCTTCACTCTGCTACGGATGCTAATTTTGATGCTGATGCTACACATGAAGATATTGTCACAAAAATCAAACAATTTGATGCAGCATTAGAGAACATTATAAATATCATTGTTTCATACGATATGGGATGGAGCAAACGTGGAAATGGGAGGAGTTACAATAGCCTCAATGGCTATGGTACAATAATTGGTTTTCTCACTGGAAAAATTCTCGATTTTGCCACTCGAAACCAAAAATACAAGTTTTGTGACACAGGTCACAATCAAAAAGATCATGATTGTAGAAAAAATTTTTCTGGCAGTGCAAAAGCAATGGAGCCTGATGTAGGGGCTGCTCTAGTCAATAATAGCGCAATCCTTCAAGAAGCTGGCTTAAACGTTAAAGTCTTGATAGGTGACGAAGAGAGTTCAACAATTGCAGCAATAAATTCGAGAAATCCACTGAAAGTCCACAAATTGTCTGACAGTAACTATTTAAAGAAACATGTCATGAAAGATTTGTATGCACTGCAAAAAAATTTCAAAGAGATGAGAAAGAAAGAGGTCATTCCTCATCTAAAGAAATGTTTTACGTGTGCAGTGTCACAGAATCAAGGACAAAGTGCTCAGCTAGCTAGGACTATTCACATTATTCCTGACCATGCATTTAGCAGACATGAAAACTGCGGAACTTGGTGTAAAGATTCTCATAAAATTGAGCTAAAAGATAATAATCTTTATAATGAATTGTGGGCAATATTTGAAAAATATGCAAAAAATGCAACAAAATTTGCAGTCATAGCTTCCAGTCAAGCAAATAAAAATGTCAATAATATGATGGCACACAAAGCTCCAAGAAAATGTTGCTACAGCCTTAGTGAATCAGCCAATTATCGACTTGCAAGTGTTGTTTGCACAAAAAATGATGGAGAAAATCATCTTCTGGATGTTAATGCAAAGCTGAATGTATCTCCTGGGAAACACACTGCAATTTTAGCCATGCGATTGGATAAAAAAAGAGAAAAGAGAGCGATGAAGGCAAAATTACCATCAACTAAAAGTCGTAGAAATTTACTAAATCAAATGAAAGAAGCTTCAAGAAAGTCACAAGAAAGGTCTGAGGGTGTACAGTATCAGTCAAATTGTGGTATAAATATCAGTATGGAAAATGCCACACTTATAGATTCACAACGTTTTGCTGATAAATTGCCTAATGTTTCCGTGTCCCCTGAAAATTGCAATATCGTTTATTTTGATTTAAAGACTTCTGGTTTTTCAAAAAATGCAGAAATCCTACAGGTAGCAGCCAAGTTTGAAGAATATACATTTACTGTGTATCTCTCTTCTACCAGACCTATTGATGCTGATGTTTCTCGAGTAACAGGACTGACATATATCAAATGGAATCTGTACTTCCATGGAAAACCAGTCCTAACTTTTTCACCTCGAAAGGCGTTGCAATCATTCCAAGAGTTTCTCAACTTTTCTACAAAATCTTGCATTTTGGTGGCTCATAATGCACCATTCGATTCTGCTCATTTACTTTGATTGATTATAAGTCACGGTATGATTGAAAATTTCTCGAAAATTGTTGGATTTTTCGACAGCTTAACTATATTGAGAAAACTTTTCCCTGAAAGGAAAGGACAAAAAGATTCGTTTAAACTGCAAACATTGGCGCGAGATTTGCTGAAATTGGAAACATCTGGACAATTTTATTAAGCATTATTTGATGTTAAAGTTTTAGAAAAATTGAGTCATACTTACATCAAAAAGGAAAGTTTATGTACAATCTGTAAGCCTTATAAAGAATCTGTGATAGCTAAAATTATATTACCATCCTTAAAAAATTTAAAAGATGTGATTTTGAATAGTATTATTAAGAAAATGGCAGGAGCAGGAATTTCCTATGAAATATTACAACAGGTATATTCGGAAAAGGGAGAAAAAGGTGTTGAACACCTTTTATCAAAAGAAATTACCTCACGTGAGCCACTGATTACAAAATCCAACAAAGTAATCCAAAAAGTAATCCATTATTTAAAAAGTAAAGGTTAATTTGATTATTTATTTATTATTCTAAAGATTAAAAAAATAAATTATATTATCACATATTTGAGACTGTTTTATGCATCTATATAATTATTCTTTGCCATACTTTTGTTTTTACTATTTTTATACTTTTATAACCTGTTCCTGTATTTAATGTTGTGTATATGTTATGTTTGTTATGAAATAAATTTATTCTATAATGATAAAAAGAAAATAATCTCAAACTCTTTTTTATATACTTAAAATCCATGGGAATCCAGCAAATTGAAATGACGGCTTTGGCGTGTGCCTAGCAGTCAACTGTCACGTACAGCATTGCCACATCATTATCGCAATTTCTCTCTATGTTTCGTTTGGAAAAAAATTCATTTTTTTTAAAAGTAATATTTTTTAAACTAAACGGTGGAAAAAATTTATTTTTTTTTCAATAATCCCACACTCATATTGTATACCTCACTTGTTTTTTATTAAAATCGTAAGATCCGTTCTATTGTTATATATTAAAATGTGATAAAAATGCTATCCTTTCACGTGGTGTATAGAAAAAGTGCTAATTTTAATTGTAAATAACTATTAAACTAAACGGTGAATTGACTTCAAAATTTCGTAATCGATAGATATTAACTCCGTCTACAACATATTAAAATTTCTAAAAATTCGTAAGAATTGTGAAAAACGATAGAACTACCTTAAAAAGTTAAAAAAATGGTATAAGAGCTAATAATGGCGGGTTAGCGGTGAGTAAATTAGACGTAAACAAATAATATTTGAGTAAATAAAATTTAAAAAAGGGTACCATCCCTGGGAAGGTTAAAAGAGGAATAAGAAAAATTTTGAGATCTCAACCACAAGATGCGAATTCCTATGTTTCTTAATTTTTGCAATAACAACGCGTTGCTTGCTTGGCCGATATATATATATATATATATATATATATATTTATTTATTTATTTATTATAAATATTTAAGTTTATACAAAACGCAGTGCAAAATAAAATATCAGAAAGTGAAAAAAAAACAACACAGTAGTTATCCTCGAAAAATTTGTAATATTTTGACAAAAATTTAGTAAAAATTGGTCCAGAAATGTGGAAGTAGTTTGCGGTTATAAAGACAGAACAAATAATTTTCTGTATTAAATCAAGTTTTATACAGGCTACTATATAAGGACCGCGCGAAACACGGTCTGATTAAAAAGCAAGTAAGAGTATAAAATACTATAAAATTTTTGTGTAAAACATTTTTATATTCCTTATTTTCGCAGATATTCGATAAAAATAAAAAATTTGTTATTTTGAAGGGATTGTATCAACCCGTCCTAAATGTTGTGATAAACACTTAAAAAGTATAGTATAGTTATATAGGTTTAATATTTTTTGATGTTCTACAATATATCTAAAACACATCAAAATTGATGAGGGACACTATCAACGGTTTTCTTGTAAGTATAAACGGTGGTTGTAAAAAAATTGAATATTTGCATATAAATAATTTTACTTGGCAGTGACCAAGTAAAATTTAATGCCTTGCGCACAGATATATAATTCCAACGAAAAAATTTAGTTTCGTTGGGATAACGCACCGTTTTCCGCGATTGGCTCTTATTGCCTGTCTTACACTTTAAATGTAAAAAAATTGAATTACTGTAAAAAAATATTTTACACAATAATGTAATTTTAATTTTGCATCAGTGTTAGAAAATTTCTAAAAACTTATCTCTGTATTAATTTGTATTGTTTATTTTTTTGCATAAATTTTTAATTTTGAACACTACTATGTACTACTTTTATAGGAAATTAAAACAGCTATTTGTAGGTATATTGTATAACAAAAATTAATAAGCATAAAATTCTTATATTGTATGGTACTAAACTGGATAGTTTGAATACAGATATATGCAAATAATTGAATATTTGCATATAAATAATTAATTTAATTTAATTATATTGTTTACATTGCACGAATACGCGCAAAAGGAAATATGGTGTTTTTTTTACCTTCCTCATCAATAATGCTTTTAGTCGCCTCAGGATTTTTGTAGTAGCAAGTCATCATAGTCGGTGTCTTTATCCACAATTCTCCCGGATTATTCGGACCAAGAACTTTTCCGTTTTTTGGGTCTACAATCTTTATTTCCACATATCTGATTACAGTCCCGCAAGATCCAGTCTTATGATTCGGAAGCTGCAATGTACCGAATCCACAGATTTCTGTCATTCCTAGAAATATAATATATATAATAATAGAATTTCGAAGATATATCTTCTTTATCTACTTGCTATATATTTATTTTATTTATTATATATTGATATTATTTTGTGTATTATATATTAATATATATATTTATATTTTGTGCAACCAGCGCGCTTTATAATATTTTGTGAAACGTCGCCCTTTACGCACATAATGGGATTTTAGAAAATGCTCCCTTTCCACGCACCGGTCACACGAAATATCGTAGCCAATATGTGCGAGTCATAAATCGATCGATCGTGCGGATTGTCACACTCGGCTTCGCCTCGTGCGCCAAACTTCCGCACTCTCGGCCGATTTACGATCCCCCGCACTTGTTAGCTAATATATACTATAATAATTATTACAATATACCTACCATAACCTTGTAATATCTGAATATGCGATAAGATACATTTCGTTTCTTCTACTATTGGTTTAATTACCGAACCGGCACAAATTATAACTTCCAAAGATGATAATGAATACTTTCTTACATAACTTGATTTACAAAATCGATTGAGCATGCTCGAGCTTATATAAAGTATTCTTACCTGAATAACAAGAAAGAATGAGAAAAAAGATTCATATTTTCGTGTTACAATATATGTCAGTGACGTGTAAATATAAATGTTATATAATTACTTAATAAATATGCGTTATAACAGTTTGCAAGATGATATTTTAATATTTTTCGAAAACAATGTATGTATACAAGGTGTCCCATTTTAATCATCCCTTGTAACTTTGCACGGAACAGTCATAGAGAAAAATGTTTCAGGCAAAAGTTATATGGCTACAAGGGGGACATAAGATGGTGATCTTGGCCTTGACCTTGCAATCAAACATGCCTGAAACATTTTTCTTTACAATTGCTCCCTGCAAAGTTACAAGGGGTGATCGATTAAAATGGGACACCCTGTATATATATATATATATATATATATATATATATATATATGTATATGGAAATGTTATTAATTTGCTGTTAGAGTCTATTTATATATTATTCAAAGATTTGCGTTTGTCAGTAAAAATATTTCTATCTATAAGCTTACATATATTTGAATTTTAAAGTTATATATATATATATATATATATATATATATATATATTTAACAAATAATGTGTATATATATATATAACAAGATAAGTAGTTTGATCACCAGTGAATTTTGAAATCAAGGTTGATAAGAATTAAATCGATCAACTGTGGCTAAGGTGTTGAATTTAATTTATTAGCAACAAAAAATTTTTTTACGAATAAATTAAAATTTAAGACACATCAAACCTATGTACGATAAATTAACAATAATAAATGTAGGTATAACAACGCACTAATAAATGATAAATATGAAATAAAAATGAAATAAAATGTACGAATAATTACACCTAGTCATTAAAATATATGCAGTGCAAATGAAATAAGTATTAATCTAACAATCAAATAATCTCGAAATAACAATCAGATTATATTACATAAAAGTCATTAAATATACCTAAATTAAAGTCTTAATGAATTGTAAAATAATGTTAATACCTATTAAATGATGATAAAGGTCTTAGATTCGATCATGCCAACCAGGAACAAAGTAGAGTAATAATTTAGTCATAACTTTACACTGTGCACAAACGCCGGTTAAACATACACTGATAAATAATCGGAAGGATTAACTATGAGATAAACATAGACAATAATAATCAATATAAGTCAAAATAAATAAAAATACATATTCAAGGATCTTAAAAAACATTAAAAATCGTATCATAAACAGCATTTAAATTCTCTGTATTTTTTTATTAATAAATAAATTTGCAAAAGTTTGCTAGTCGACTAGGTGTAATTAGTTGTACATTTTATTTCATTTTTATTTCATATTTATAATTTATTAGTGCGTTGTTATACATTTATTGTTAATTTATCCTACATTGGTTTGATGCGTCTTAAATTTCAATTCATTCGTAAAAAATTTTTTGCTTATTGTAGCCTGAAGAGGACCCGATATAGCGGTTGAAACGTTGCTAATAAATTAAATTCAACACCTTAGCCAGTTGATCGATTTAATTCTTATTAACCTATAATTTATATATTATCGCAATTTTCTCTGTTAGCTCCGTTACAACTTTCACCTCATATTTCTCGATTAGTTTGCATGTCATCTCTTCCTCAAATTCCGGGTAGATGATCACTTTGATGCCTTGCACGATCGATTTTAGGTTCATTACTATTCCGCCGATCCAATGGAGTGATGAGAACCAAACTGTATTGGTTAAACTCATGTTTGTATTCTCGCTGGTAATTAAGAGAGCGTAATGGGACATTTCGACGCCTTTATGCATTCCAGTGGTGCCTGATGTGTGTATAATGCATACTGTTTGTTTGATGTTATCAGGCTCGACATATTGAAAATTTGCTACTTCCGCATCGCTGTGCATGTTTAAAATATCGGAAAACATGATTGCGTCTGAATAATAGCCAAAAACCACAACACTGGGATTGAAGCAGTTCTCTTTTGTTGCTCTTAAAATAACGTTTACGACTTTCTCGTTGCAGAAGATCACTTTCGGAGTAGTCAGTTGCATGACATGCAATGCTGTTTCTAATGACAAATAACACATAAGTATTAGAGCAGACGAGAAAAAATATTGAATTTCGAATATAAGATTCTGCTATCACTAATAAAAATAAGATTGCCATCCGCAAATTCTGAATTTGATAAGCTTTTGAATATATTGTATACGAGGTGTGTTCAAAAAGTATCGCGAATTTTGTGTTTTTTCAAAAATTATTTATTTATTCATGAATATCTATTTTGTCCCCTTCAAAGTAATCCCCACCAGATATTATACACTTGTGCCAACGTTTTTTCCAATCCTCGAAGCACTTCAAAAAATCATTTTTTGTGATCTTGTTCAGCTCCTCCTTCGATGCCGTCTTTATCTCCTCAATCGTAGCGTAGCGTCGTCCTTTCATGGGCCTCTTCAGTTTCGGGAACAAGAAAAAGTCACAGGGGGCCAGATCTGGGGAATACGGTGGCTGCGGCATTATTAGTGTGTTGTTTTTGGCCAAAAATTGAGCAATTTTGGTACGAATTTCGCGGCGACCCGTGTCATGCCCAAATCATTGGTAAAAATCGAATGGCACGAGCCAATCGATATGTTTAGGTCCTCAGCAACTTCTCTAACGGTGATTCGACGATTGACCAATACTATTTTCTTCACTTCATCAATGTTTTCGTCTGTTGTTGACGTGCTCGGGCATCCGGCACGCTCTTCGTCGTTCACATCTTCTCGGCCCTCGGAAAACATTTTGTACCACCGATAAACGTTGCTTCGGTCCAAGGTAGCTTCACCATATGCCACAGTCAACATTCGGAATGCGTCCGCGCACTTAATTTTGTTTTTCACACAAAATTTGATACAGATTCTTTGATCCATTTTTTGGAATAGGCAAAAATCGAAGACGAGCCAAAACACGTGCAAGCAAAGCAGCTGTCAAAAATTAACTGAACATTCAAAATGGCCGTACTTGTCGGCATAAATGAGAAACATGAGTACCAACATAACGCCACAAAAAAATCGAAAATCGAATATACGTAACCCGCGGAAATTCAAAATTCGCGATACTTTTTGAACACACCTCGTATAGTCTGGGTCAAAATAAGAGACATATAAGAAATAATAAGTATAAAAATTCTAAATAAACATAAATGCTATACTTATAAATATTACTTATATATATATAAATAAAATAAATATACAAAATTTAATTAACATACAATAGATAAAATTATATTTGCGCATACGCTATCATTGAAATTTTATTTTCTTTGATTATCAATCGAATATAAAGCAATGTTTTTAATTGTCATAGTGACAGAACTTACGCAAGTCTATGTTTTCATTCCACGGATTAAAGATCGCGTTGATATAAATTGCTGCCAAGCAGGGCACAATGGAATTAAGATGATTATGTGTACACACACTGACAACATCGCCGGATTTGATTCCTTGTTTTTTTAGCCACAACGCGCATCTTACTACTTTGTCTTGTAGCTCTGTATACGTAACTACTTTCTCAGTGCATGCATCTAACTATGAAATTATTACTATTAATATATTATAATTTATATTATTAGTAATCAAAAAATATTACATTTTACCAAATTGATATAACAATTTTTTTGAGTAAATGTTTACCTTTACACAAACCGCTTGAATCGACTTGATCTTAATATATGTTGTCAACGTCATCTTCCTGAGTGACTTTCAGAAGATTTTAATCATCGTTAAATTTTTATTAAAAAGTTATTATAAAATGTGGTTTGAAAAGTGTAATAGTTTTATACATTATATTTTTATTAATTAAAACAGTTGGATACATGTCAATTATAATTTTAAAATGTTATAGCGGGGAAGCGCGGGGAGCACACACTCTTGCATAAGCGCATAAGCATATGCATAAGAAATTTGATTGGTTGAATTTCTTATGCATACGTTTATAGACCAATCAAGATTCTTATGCTTACGCTTATGCGTCTATGCAAAAATGTGTGCTCTCCGCTTAAGAAGACAATTTGTACTGTATAATAGATACAGATAGCGCGCGACGTGCAATACAATTATCATTTTTCTGTTCTTAGTTTCTTTTTTGTTTTATAAGTTAGTTACTAGGAAAAAGCGTCAAAACCTAATTTTATCTTTATCTCTCGCCGCGTGCCTTTTACCTGTGCTTATTCTTGTACGTTAAGATATTCTTGTATGAAATAAAAGTTTACTTTCTTTTACTATGAACCACTGCAAAATAATTATCGGTTATGGGCCCAAAACGAAACGCCCAGAGAAAGTAAAAAGTCAAAGCAACTGGATATAAGTAAATTAATCGTACATATATTCTTTTCGGAAATCTGTTTGTGGAACCTAATCTACAACATAATAGAAGAAGACAGATATAAGATTCCTTTATTTAATGAAACAAACTTCAGCAACTGGAAGTTCCGTATAAAAACCTTGTTAAATGAACTTTATTGAAAAATCAGTAACTCAGATGGTCGAGGTGAGGACCACGGACACATCGGAACAATGAACCTTGAAAGAAACGCAACTACAATTGCTAAAGAAAAGTGACCGAAAATGCAAATCTCTAATTGTACAGCGGATTGCAGATAGTCATCTAGAGTACATTAAGGACGAAGATACATCGTACGGAATCTGGAACGTCCTGAAGAATACATTTGAAAAAAAAGGAATCGCAAGTCAACTCAGGATACGAAAGAAGCTACTGACTATGAAATTTGATACTTCAGAGACAATGAGTGCACATTTTTTTGAAATTTGATAGACTAATTCGTGAATTGAAATCTACAAGTGCTGCGGTTGAAAAAACAGATGTAGTATGTCATTTATTATTAACATCACCAACGGAATACGATGCTGTGGTAACTGCATTGGAGATATTGTCAACGGAACAACTCAGAATTAGTTACGTTAAAAATCGACTATTGGGTAAAAAAGCTAAGTACTGCAGTTCGAATGCAACAGATGATGGAAATAAACATGCAGCGTTTGCGACAAGCAAAAACATCGTCAAGAAAGGTAACAATACTAAAGCTAAAGATAAGAATAAAAATAAATTTAATTTTCAGTGTTACAATTGTGGAAAGTATGATCATAAAAGAGCCGACTGCAGGAAACCTCAGAAAGACACAATAAAAGTGTATCTGGAAGTACAAATCTCACTACAAAAGGTCACAAGAACTCTGATACAGAAGAAGAATTTGCATTTAACACAAAAACTGAGCTTGAAGAAAAAACCTCAACTTGGATACTGGATTCAGGCCTAACGGAGTTTCTAGCTCATTCGAGTGAAAATCTTGCAAATATCAAGACTCTGAAAAATCCAATACAGATACACGTCGCAAAGTCTGATCACAAATTGACAGCAACGGAATGTGGAGAATTTAAGGTACGCACACAAGTAAATAGTCAAGCACGATCTATAACAATAAAAGAAGTGCTAATCGTACCTCATCTCCAATTTAATTTATTATCCGTTCAAAAGTTAAAAATGAACGGACATACAGTGCAATTCTGCAATGGAAAAAGCATTATACAGAGAGATCACCAAATAGCAGTTGCATATCGGAAGAATAAACTGCATGAATTTGAATTCTGTACGGAATCTGTGACAACAAATGTATGTAATAGTGAGAATAATATTAAAATTTGGCATAAACGATTCGGCCACATAAGTTACAGTGCACTAAAGGAATTGCCATCAATAGTAAATGAAATCAAGTGGAACAAGAGGTTCATCAAACCAAAGCATTGTGAAGTCTGCATAACTGGTAAGCAAACTAAATTGCCACATTCATAAACTTGTATACGTGAAAAAAAACCCTGCAACTAGTACATAGCGACGTATGCGGTCCTATGGGCACGGAATCCTACGACAGGAAGAGGTACCTGCTGACTTTCAACGATGATTTTACTCATTTCACTGCAGCATATACATTAACAGAAAAAAAGCAAAGTTTTCAAATATTTCAAACTATTAAGCAATGGTGGAAGTGCATTTTAATTTAAAGCTGAGCAGGCTGAGATGCGATAATGAAGGTGAAAATCTTTCTACTGAAATGAAAAACTATCATGCACAAAAAGGTATCCAGTATGAATTCATTATTAGATATACGCCACAGCAAAACGCCATTGCTGAACAAATGAATCGCACTATTATAGAACGTGCACGGTGTATGATTCCAAATTCAAAATTAAGCAAAAAGTTCTAGTCTGAAGCCGTACTCACCGCAGTTTATCTCATAAATAGAAGCAGCTCGACAGAAGCATTAAAAAGAAAAGTTCCCGCAGAACAATGGTATGCAGAAAAGCCCAACGTACAGAAGTTAAGAGTATTTGGATGCATAGCATATTTAAAACTACCCAAAGAATTAATTAGAGAAAAGTTTGATTCACGCTCCAAAAAGTGTTTAATGGCTAGATACTGTACGAATGGCTATCGCCTTTGGTGTCCAGAAGAAAAGATTATTCTTGGTCGCGATATAATTTTCAACAAATCAAGATATAATTTTAAAAAGGACTTCTAAAGCAACATCTAGAAAAGCTCAAAAAAAGAGCATCAACAGAAATAAGATCCAAGATAGTACTGATAACTCAAGTAGTTCAGAAGAAAGTGAATTATATAAGAGCTGACGAGGAAAAACAGATTATGGTGGAAATACAAAGATATCGAAACCACAGATAATCTACAAACACTACTTCACGATGCAGTACGAGAGTCAAGACTCGACTAAAATATCTCAAAGGCTATATTGGAATAGCACTAAATGCAGAAGCATTTGTTGAAGACATCCCTCAGGATTATCAAGATATTCAACGAGAAGATAAGGACAAATAGTACAACGCAGTTCAAGAAGAGATTACATCTCTATTAATAAATACGAGGGTCGTTTAAAAAGTCCGTGCAAAAATAAAAACTATTTCATTGTTTGGGGTAAACTTTTTTTATTTTTCAACATAGTCTCCTTTTAAGCTTATACACTTCGTTCAACGCTGCTCTAGTTTGTTGATCCTTTCCAAATAATAAGATTTGTCCAAGTCTAAAAAATAGCCATTTGTTTCTGCAATCACCTCCTTGTTTAAATAAAATCTTTTTCCCGCCAGCCATTTCTTCAAATTGGGAAACAAATAATAGTCCGAGGGAGCCAAGTCTGGACAATAGGGGGGATGTGCAACGAGTTGAAACCCTATTTCCATTCATTTTGCGACCACAACTGCTGAGACGTGAGCTGGTGCGTTGTCGTGATAGAAAAGGACTTTTTTGTGGACCAATCGTGGACGTTTTTCTTGCAGCTCGGTTTTCAAACGGTCCAATAACGATGAATAATATGCACTTGTAATAGTTTTACCTTTTTCCAGATAGTCGATGAGGATTATTCCTTGCGAATCCCAAAAGACAGTCGCCATAATCTTTCCGGCCAAAAGAACGGTCTTCGCCTTTTTTGGCGCAGATTCCCCCTTGGTAATCTATTGTTAAGATTGTTCTTTGGTCTCAGGAGTGTAGTGATGTATCCATATTTCATCCACAGTGACAAAACGACGCTTAAAGTCCTGCGGATTCTTCTGGAACAGCTGCAAACCGTCCTTGCAACACTTCACACGATTGCGTTTTTGGTCAAGCGTAAGCAATCGCGGCACCCATTTTGCGGATAACTTTGTCATGTCCAAATGTTGATGCAAAATATTATGTACCCGTTCATTTGAGATGCCCACAGCACTAGCAATCTCACGCATCTTTACTCTTCTGTCATCCATTACCATATCATGGATTTTATCAATGATTTCTGGAGTAGTAACCTCAACAGGGCGTCCAGAACGTTCAGCGTCACTTGTGCCCATATGGCTACTCCGAAAATTTTGAAACCATTTATAAACTGTTCTAATCAAAGGTGCAGAGTCACCATAATGTTTATCAAGCTTCTCTTTAGTTTCCTGAGGCGTTTTGCCTTTCATAAAGTAATGTTTAATCAACACACGAAATTCTTTGTCGTCCATTTTTTGAAAATCACTCAACTTCCTCGATTCAAACAAATGCCAAACACAAAGAAATAGACCGATGTGGCTGAAACTTGGTGTGTGTTCTTTCAAGAGATGCTACTAACTAAACATAACCTTGATACGCGTCAATAGTGTTATCTCTCTGACTTTGCACGGACTTTTTAAACGACCCTCGTAAAACGTGGATACTTACAAAACTTCCCGCTGACAAAAAAGCTATCAATAATAAATGGATTTTTAAAATTAAACAAAATCAAGATAATAATATTCAGCGGTATAAGGACCGTTTGGTAGTAAAAAGTTGTGCTCAAAGAAGAGGATTCGACTACACAGACACTTACACACATGTCGCACACATTACTACAATTAGAACTCTTCTGTCTATCACCAATTATGAAGGACTATTTACAAGGCAACTAGATGTAAAAAATGCGTTTTTGCATGGAATAGAAGAGAAAATAAACATGAAAAGGTCTCAAGAGTATTTGACAAATATATATGAAAAGGTCTTCAAAGAGTATTTGACAAATAATGAACTAGTATGTAAATTAAATAAGTCTCTCTATGGCTTAAAACAAACGGCCCGTGCTTGGAATGCAAAATTTGATCAATTTTTTAAAGGCCTCAATTTAAAAAGATCTGAAATTGATATGTGTCTTTATATTAAAATTACAAAATGTACTAATTGTAAGTTATACATTTTGCTTTATGTAGATGACATTATTATGGCAGGTAGCAATAAACCAGACTTGCTTGATCTGAGAGATACATTAATGCAAGAGTTCCCAATTACAGACTTAAACACCCCACACTATTTCCTCGGAATGAAGATTGACTTTCAAACTGATGGTACTTTTCTAAGTCAACGAGCATTCATGGAACGTCTTTTGGAGCGCTTTAATATGACTGAGTGCAAACCAACCCCTATGGAAACCCGAGTTAATTCAACAACTGAAGAAAGAGCAGAGTGCATTATTAAAGCTAAGCTGTATCGTAAATTGGTTGGATATACCCTAAATAAGTTTTTTATTTTTGATTGTAGAAAAGTGTTTCAGACAAAAGTTGTATGGTTTCGAGGAGGACATTAGTTTGACCTTAAATAGTTGCTTGAGGGTCATGTGAAGATCACCTTTAATTTTTTAAATGGAACCACCTACTTTTTATTACATATTCTTGTAGCTGAGATCGAGAACTTTCCAAAACACTATAATGAAACATTTTTATCTCAAGTACTTTTTGAGTTATAAGACAAGATCTCCTCAGCTCAAAGTGACCTTTACGTGACCTTCAAGCAACTAGGTCAAATTAATAGTACCACCTTATGTCCTCCATAAAACCATACAATTTTTGTCTGAAACAATCAAAAATAAAAAAACTTATTTGAGACGGGACATTAGAATGGGACACCCTGTATACACGACTAGATATAAGTACTGCAATTAATTATTGTATTTGTTTCCAGAACTGTGCTACTGAAAGTCATTGGAATTGTTTGAAGCAAATACTACGCTACATCAAAGGAACTCTAGACTATGGCTTATATTTTCAAAAGAAGTGTTCCGAGCCTACGTGGACTATTAGCATACGTGCATGCTGATTGAGCAATTGACAGTGATCGAAGATTCATTACTGGATACCTGGTGCAAGTATATGGTGGTACGGTAACATAAGTAACCAGGAAGCAATCTACAATAGCTCTGTCGTCGACAGAATCGGAGTATGTGGCATTGGCCACCGCTGCATCTGATGTCATATAGTTCAAGAAACTGTTGCGTGACTTGGGAATCAACTGTGAAGAACCCATTACTGTTTTTGAGGACAATCAATTGTGTATTCATTTGTTAAGTAAGTAGAAGCATCGCAGGCTGAAACATATTGACGTTAAATATAATTTTGTGAAAAAACTATATAATAGTAAACAGTTGCAAGTCAAGTATATTTGTACTGAAGATCAGACTGCAGATATTCTGACAAAAGGTTTGGCAGGTGTACGGTTTGTCAAACTACGGTCACTTATGGGTGTAAGCATGTTCAAAGTTTAAGTTTTAATAAAATTTAAATTTAATTTTGTTCTTAGAGTTATCAAATTGCAAGGTATTAAAAAGATAATTTGTACTGTATAATAGATACAGATAGCGCGCGCGACATGCAATACAATTATCATTTCTCTGTTTTTAGTTTCTTTTTGGTTTTATAAGTAAGTTACTAGGAAAAAGCGCCGAAACCTAACTTTATCTTTATCTCTCGCCGCACGCTTTTTACCTGTGCTTATTCTTGTACATTAAGATATTCTTGTACAAAATAAAAGTTTGCTTTCTTTTATGGAACCACTGCAATATAATTATCATAAAGTACGTTTTATAAAATGAAATCATTTATTTATATGTGTAGTAAGTCAAAAGCATGCGCAAAAAAACCTATATATGGAAAAGTTCACATGGATTTGCAATTTTTCACGTAAAGTAAATTAATTTTATAACATATACGTGGTGTATGAGAATTACAGACAATTCATGAAAATTTATTTGTTAATAACATTTTAATAAACAATTAACGACGGCTAAAACTTTGTCAATATTACTCAGGACAACATATGTCAATGTCAAGGCGACTCAAATGGTCTGTGTAAAGATAAACATTAACCCTTTTGATTTAGGAGCCAATCCTTGATGACAGGGCCTAGCATGCATATATTCCAACAAGAATAAAGTTACACAAAAAATAATAAAAATGAAAAAGGTAAGCTTGTATAAAATAGCCTTACCGGCAAAAAATTTTTATTATTCTGTTGACGATCGTTATTGTGATATGTTGTATGCTATCTCTCGCTTTTAATTTCTGACTTTTGTCATAAAGATATATAGTTTTAATTCGATAATAACTTGAGAACTTTTGTTATAATTTGATTATATTGTGAGTAATATTATTATATGTATTATTAGTTTTGCACTTGTACATTATTATATGCGGTTTTTGAGTAGTCATTAGATATTTATTTTTAAATATTTTTTAGTGTTGTTCATTTGAGAAGGGCCACAATCACATGGTCAAAACGCCGTGAAAATTAATAAAATTAATTTCTTGCTAGTTTGATCAATTATTTAATTTTCCTATTTATTGACTAGCGATTGGAAAGAAGTACGTATATTAATAATAAAAATATTATAAAAAACTAAATGTGCAATTAAATTTTAAGCAAATGTAACAAAATTTAGTTCGTTTTTTCTCAATTTCCTTCATGAGAAAATCTTGCTTTATTACAATATATCTATTTTATGTTTCTTGATATATCTGTGATAATATAAATAAAACGTAACACTTTCGTCATTGCTTTTTCAACAAATTTTATACAACTTTAAATATATTTTTTTTGTTTTATATGTGACTTACTTTAATAACTTGATTATGTACTCATAAAAGTTCTCTTTTGCTAAAATGTTTTACATTGTGTTGTTTCACGTGTAAAGATTGACTTACGTGTGCAATTTTATCTCCATTGCTCATCATTTTAATCCATATTAACTCTGCAAGACTGTTATAATTAGTAAGAGCATAAGATAATATTTTCCCTTTATAAACATTATTTCGCACAGTAAAAGCCTAAAATTCAAATTTATATAACTCTGCAAGGCTGTTATAGTTAGTAAGAATATAAGATAATATTTTCTCTTTATAAACATTATTTCGCACAGTAAACGCTTAAAATTAATGAATGAATTTGTTACTTTAAATAACAACTATAATTTTGCATGTCACAAAAAACTTGCTCACATATCTTTAAACTGTGTGTATATTACGTCATATTGACGGTCGCGTTTTATTACAATATTAAATAAAAAATTATATAAAAAAATTATTTATAAGATTTGCGCGACTGTTTTTGTACTTACTCTCAAATAATTTGTAGCCATTTTGCTGAAGATATTCAAATTTTATATCCCAAATATAAAGTGTCAAATATGGTTATAACTTAATGTAATAATTTGATGATATGCCTAATCATAAATAATATATTGCATCCAATGTTCTGTGGTCTCGTTTTATTGTCTCATTTTACTTAAATGATAAAATTGATTATTAATATGATATAAATATATATTGTATAAGAAAATAGTTTGTTAAGCAAAAAAATAGTATTGGACACCCACACACACACATACGTACGCACGCATCTATAAAATATATTACAGATCTTGTATAGTAATCAGTTTTCGATAATCTTACTTTAATACTTTTATGCACGAAATAATGAATCATTATAGAACCCGTAGATATTTTGTCTTATGAAAATTAAAATGTGTATTTATGTGTCAAAAATATCTAAAATAGAATTAAGCACTTACTGACGATATGTTGTATTACACAGAATGATATAATAACATGAAATATCGAAGCGCTGAAAAGAAATTCTACGAATTATTAACAGTGTCCTTACTAATGACTTGAAAAAACTGAACTTTACTTATTTATACGATAATAATGCTAACTTGAGTCTTTAATTAGTCATACAGTGTTTGCAAAAAAAAATCTTATTTATTATCAGTAATGCTGATGACATGTATGCTAAAACATTGTGCTTACTAGTTAGACTATTGTATATGGTTATGCAAATATAACAATATCTGCAATTTTACTTAAAGATTATTATCATGACATTGAAGTTATGGTAAATAGAAGCATATATTGCCCCTATAGCGAAATTATGACAAATAGAAACATATTCTCTCTATTTCTAGTTACGTGTGCTAAGATAAGCTAAGCATATGTCGGACAAAAGATAACTGAAGTGACCATACGAAGATATGTATAAGTTTTTTTAACGCGCGAATAGCGAAAAGAATAAAAGCAATGAAAAAAAACAATTGCTACTCATCCTGACATTTTTTAAATCAAGCAACAAATGCGTTTGCAAAATCATATATTTGTTCATATATATATATATATCGGCTAATTTTTCCAGCACTTTATGATTTTTATTAATTTTTATTGATCATAAAATCTCTTTAATAAAATAATATTTTGATATTTTTATTACTACTTATTTTTATAACTACATATATATATTACGACGACTTTTTCTCGCCCGGAGCAACGCGGCAAGCAGAGGTCGACGTCAAAAAAAAGAAAGGAATTGTTCTTTATGAAAGATATTACGCGGGAACTAGGAACGTAGTCGCTCCGCGCGTACCGTAGCAGAACGCCAGCCGATAGATATGCAAAAGTACTTTTATGGTTTTATGATTTTATGGTGCCAGACACGGTTTTGCACGTGCCAATTCGCGACACACGAAATTACGCGATAATACGGCCAGAAGTTCTGCGACGGGCCGGCTGCTCACCTAACGGCAGAGAGACAGGATGTGGTTGCCGCGAAAGAAAGAATAAATAGTTTACTCAAAGTACACGCGAAATTAATTGTACACGGATTATCCGGTAATGAGACGCAACAGAACAAAGAGACAAAGGAAAATAAGGACGCGAAAGTATGATATAAAATAATTCCGATTTATTCTAATAAGAGAAGAAAAGGAAAAACAATATATTTTATAACGTAAATCGAATAACTATGAAATTACAAAAAAAAAATATATAGCAGAAATTATAATTTACATAATTTGGAAAATTAGAGAGAAAATAACGTATAATTGGTTTTACAATATAAAAAAAGAAGATAATAAAAAAAAAATTGATACGATATAACATTCGTAATGTGAAAGCTAATTTCAAGAACAAATTGAATTGACGTCACTAAGATTTCGACAGAGCCAACAAAATATAATAGTACGAGAAGTACCGCGACAATCTAGGCTCGAAAAATAACGAAGACTTTACTTACGTCGGATGCGCAACAATCCTATAATATACGATATACAAGAAAAGAGTAGAACAAAGAGTTCGACAATTAAGAGAGTCAGAAGTTAGGTCTGAAAGAATCTTGACGACACGCAAAGAGCAAAAATACCGCCGTAATATGGTAGAGTTCGATTTTTAAAGTAAATACGCCGGTGACCAGCAGTCCACGGCTTTCGCCGTCTCGCTCGCTCTCGCGCGCCCGCACTCTCCGTCCTTGTCACTTTCGCGCTCTCGCACGCGGTCGTGCTTCATCTTTTCTCTCTCTCATTTATACGCGGCACCCGACGGAGCAGCCATTATTATATCATCCACGTATCTGATGTATATGAGTGGACAAAACTTTAGTAGTTGAAGAGCTTTATTTTCTAAATCTTGCAGTACTATATCAGCTATAATAGGAGATAAAGGAGGTCTATTTTTATAAATTTACTTATCTTTCAATGTTAATTTTTTCGTACAATGATTTTATAGACATAATAACAATTGCTGTTATCGAGATTCGCAACCGACCTCCTAACCGAACAATTAGCGAGAGATCTGTTTCGCGACAATTACATACTGTAGAATGATGATTCGAGGAATAGAATATATAAAAATGCTCAGGTTTAAAATGCGTTGATTTCGTTAATTAAAAAAATAGCTTGACGTAGTTTTATGCAAATAACTGTGTTTCTATATAGTTTTAATATATTGACAGTTATGAATAATTGATTGTTTATTTCTATTCATCTTTAATTTTAAATGATGCGCTGAAGAAGGTTGAAAAAGCACCCGAAACGTTCGAATTTTTTTCTGTCTAATATTTTATGTTATAAATATTTTTCCACAAATAAATATTAATGAAAGAATTAAATTAGCTCTTATAACCTTTTATATGTATATTAATTTTTTAAAGAGCGGTTACAAATTATATTACATTATTTTTTCGCGGGTTCGATTCCCGCTTCAGCGACTTTTCGGACCTATATTTTTCGCGCCTATTTCTCCACATATGTAAGTTTTGAGATTAAATTATATATGAAACTTAGTGATCTCATACCAAGAGATACAGTTCCGAATAATTAATTTTTCATGCTTTGGTACTGTTGGCTGATTTAAAAAACATTATATTAAATTATTTATTGTTTACAAAATTAAATTACAACAAATTAAAAAACACTAATAAAAAAAAAGACAAAAAGTTTATTACATTTCCATATATTAAGGGTCTCACTGAGAGTGTTTGTAAATCTTTTAAAAACACTAAATTTACTATAGGTTTCAGATGTTTTAACAGAGTAAATAAGTTCATTAAGGTGCATAAAGACACAATACCAAAAACGAATAAGAATAATGTAATATATAAAATTGAGTGTAAGGATTGTGAAGCGTCATACGTGGGACAAACTAAAAGAAAGCTAGAGACGAGAATCATAGAACACAAAAATAATATGGTTCAACATTATAAAATACCTTCTATTATTACAGAACATATAAGAAATTTTAACTATTCTATGAATTGAGAAAAAATTAAAGTCACGGATCATGAACCAAATTATTTTAAAAGATTAATTTCGGAAATGATCTGCATAAAAGAACAAAAAAGTGGTTTGAATGTAATCGAAGATTTAGATTTATTAGATAAAATGTATTTCCCAGTACTGGATGGCTTAACTAAAGCTTGAATAATTTAATCTCAGCTGTTTTTCATCACACATGCGCATTCACAATTTTCTTTCCCACTTTATACTGAAAAATATTTCTTCTCATTGCGTATCTGTCCTTCAAGGTATGAAGGTGTATATAAGTTGTGTTAAAAATGTGTGACACTCTAAGAATCTATATATCGTATTTATTAAAGTAAAGGTATAAAATTTGATTTTTCTTTCTATTAATTAATTTAGTAACTGTGTTTTGCTAAGATTATTTAAATTATTTAGTAGCTAATTTATATAAATTATATCCATTGTCTGTAACAGATACATTCAAATGACACCTGTCTATACTTTGACACTGTAAAGAAGAAGTAATGCTGTAACAACTTTTTGTAAATTTAATATATTGTGGCTAAAGAGACACAAGTTAGCGTCGAAATGTCACATCTCGGGATTATAGATGTATTGATAATTTAAAATAAATTCCATCCAATACTTAGCTCGTAAAACAGCTTTTGTTAATTTGTTCATTATTAATTTATTAAAACAAGCTTCCAATATTATATTTATTTTATAAAATTATACAATATTTTACTTTACGTAATTTGTACAAATTAAATAAATACCTGTTAAACAACCAGTGATCCAATCCAAGAACAACCTTACATGTTAACACTAAAATGATATTCACGATTGTACATTAAGACGTTAACAAAGAGGACGACGCAAACATAATAGTCTCCGGGTAAAATTCTTTTTTGTTTTATAATGTCACTTACAGCTAAATATGATAACAATGATAATCCATACAAAGACAGTGTTGTACATAAAAACATAGCAACCAAATAAATAGAGAACACACGAGGAAAACAATAAATAAATTATGATAAATAAACAACTAAATGTAACTTATACTCTCTGTATCAGCACATCGTATATCGGGTTCAAATTTTCAGTATTTTTTTTGCATTTTGATGTGACAGTGATAAACGATAGTGGTAAATTACATACAAATTGGTATAGAAAACCTACTTTTTCGGGTAGATCTCAGTTTTCACTCTAACAAAAAATTTAAGAACCCATTTTTCTCAATTTCGCAACAAGGTTGGCCTAAGAGCACAACATATCCAAAAGATATTCAGAGGATATTCAGAGGATATTCAGAGGACATTCGAACATCCTCAGGATGTTCTCTGAACATCTTCGGGATATGTGTGCTGTTAGGGAAAGTTGTACACACCATCCTGAAAAGTCTTAATAGTTTAATTGTCAGAGGCAAAGACAAGTTAGGCTGTAAAACAGACGTAATATACAAGTTAGAATGTAACAATTGTAAAGCAACATATACAGGACAAACGAAGAGACAATTAGCTACACGTGTTAAAGAACATTGCAATAATATAAAAAAACATCCCAGTAATCATAATGTGATCAGTAAACATCGTGCTTTACATGGTCACGATTTTAATTGGAAAGACCCTAAAATATTACATTGAGAAAAACATAAAAAGAAGAGAGAGATTGCTGAGATGTTTTTATCAAAAAGTTTGATAATAACATAAATTTGCAAAAGGATACTGAAAATTTAAACCCGATATATGATGTGCCGATACAGAGAGTATAAGTTACATTTAGTTGTTTGTTTATTATAATTTATTTATTGCTTTCCTTGTGTGTTCTCTATTTATTTGGTTCCTATATTTTTATGTACAACACTGTCTTTGTACGGATTATTGTTATAATATTTAGCTGTAAGCGACATTATAAAACAAGAAAGAATTTTACCCGGAGACTATTATGTTCGCGTCGTCCTCTTATAACGGACCGCTTTCCCAGTGCGGCCGGATCACTCACAATCAGACGGGATCACAAGGTTCGAGAAAGGGTTTAATCCAAGAAACGTGCGCCTTGATTTATGAAACTTAACAAGTGTTTATTTGTGTGCTATATACAAATGTACATGTGTGTGTGTGCGCGCGCGTGCGTGCGTGCGCGTGTGCGTGTGTGTACGTGTGTGGATGTTTGTGTGTGAACGCAGGAGTATATAATATTAAGATACGAGTGCAAGTATAAATGTATGACGTGTGTATGACAGCGTATGTATGTGTATAAATATGTGCGGGTGCGTGTATGGATGCGAACGCCAGTATAAATGTATGTCGTGTGTATGACAGCGAATGTGTGTGTACAAGCGTGTGCGGATGCGTGTATGAATGCGAGACCGGACGCGTGCTAATCGAATACGCGAAAGCAGCTCTCTCTTTGTATATACACCTGACGCTGGTGTGTGCGTGTATTTCGGGGTGCGGGTCGGCGCAGCGGTGGTGACGACAATTTGACTCTGTAAAAAAAAGTGTCGGTCTTGTGTTAATTGCGCGATGCTAATTGGCCCCACGGAACGACGGTCTATTAAATAGTTTCGGTGATCGGAATGCGGAATTTAAAAGACCGGCTCTTTAAATCCTCACGGCCGCGTTTGTTTTTCTTTTTCGGGCGCGGCGCGGTGCAATTCCCGTATTATTGTTATTGTGCGGGGGCAAAGCTCTCTCTCTCTCTCTCCCTCGCGCGCGTGGGAGCGAGAGAGAGCGATGCAATTTTATGAAACGGGTGTTTGTTTCCCAGTAATCGCGTCGCGGGGATTCTGTTTACTTTTCCCGAGGAATTGGGATTAGGAAATCGGCCGCGGGAACTCCCGACAGAGGCGGAGAACTCCCAACCTCTGGATAAACAGCCGATCTTTCAGGAGGATAGCGTGAGAAACGGGTTTGTTAAGGAGACGCTCGAAGCGGCTTCGGCAGTGGAAACTCACCCACACGAGACTGGGCACTTCCGATCTCTTTATTCTCAGCCTTTTCGGTCGCGTTTTCTGGAGCGGTAACTGTCATAAGACGGTACGGAGCGGAATATCTCTTTTCAGTTTTCTGCGAGCTTTTTATTCGGCCCGATCGTTGTTCTTTGTACGGCTTCATAATTCTTCGGTCTAATTCCCAATTAATGTGGCGCGTGGGGGAAGCGGTAATTCTAACGGTACTTTCCGCGCAGCGTATATATGTCTAGTTATACTAGTATCCATATATACCTATATATATATTCAGATAAATATATTCGGGCTTCGCGGCGCGGGCTGTATTGTTATACTCTTTGTTAATATCTTAATATACAATCACGAATATCATTTTAGTGTTAATATGTAAAGTTGTTTTAACAGGTATTGATTTAATTTGTACAAATTACGTAAAGTAAAATATTGTATAATTTATTATTTACTTTTAATTATTATTGTAGACGCATTTGATAAGGGTCCGTAACGGAGGGCCGAAACGTTGTGCGACATTATTTTTGTAATCTGCCAGTTGGGTCAAAGTTGAATTGATAGTTATTCTAAATTTTTATTGGATCTTTAATATATATAATACAATATGAACTTCGGCTCGTATAAAATTAAAATATGTAATAAATTAAAAGGCCAACTTAACGAGCTAATAAGATGTTAATTAAATTTTTTTTTTATTATATGTCATAAAATAATATTACAAATGATAAACGTTTCGGCTGTACAACAGTCTTTTTCAATATCATTATCGCTATGTTAATAAGTCAAAGAATTAAATCGTTTGGTAAGACCGAACATATTATAAATATAAAATCTATCGGCTTATAATGTGAAAAACGCAGTAACAAATTTTCTGCTTGTTGACTTGAGATAAATCGTCTACTCTCGAACATCAGATTTCTGTAGTTCATGATGTTATAGTATGTAATATGCTGTGAAACAATTGATGTGTCAGCCCGAATATTAAATATTAGAATTTTAAAAAATAGTGATTACTTACGTCTGTGTCGAGACGATAAAATATTTCTTTTTAAATAACATTGTCACAATGTGTACTTTTTGCGAAGCTAATCAATATCTGTAAATCGCAATGTCAGAGCGCTGTATATATATCTCTATGCTATGATGACATAGACAATTTTTCTAAAATATCAAAATAAGAACCGTCAAGACGCTCAGTGTCCTTTTTTAGGTTGATACTATTTTTTTCTTCTTTAATGTGTATCATTTCCGATATCAACCTTTTATAATAATTTTTTTCGTAGTCTAAGATTTTTGTTTCGCTTGTTTGGATCTTTAATGTTGTCCGAGCGACGTCTTTCCCTTTTTCTAAATTTCAGAGCGTTAGAAATACTCCTAAAAACTCTCCCAGCACATTTACCCCCACTATCTTTGAGAAAATGAGTATATATATATATATATACTCTAAATTTTTATACGATTAGTTTCACATTAACTGCTCGGACCGATAGTTCATATTTCGGAACATAGAAAAATGTACTCCACCAAAAGAAGCAGCTGCGGCAGAATTATTACGCATGAATTATTACATGCCGAGTCATGATGAAACTCCATTGTTTGAGAATAAATGTGACGAGTAAGTTTAACTTCTTTCTATTTAATATTTTTATAAATTGTTTGATTAGAATTGTTTTATTTATAAAACTAATTTTATTTTTGTTTTTTTTCTACAGCATTTTGTTAGGGCGTCGTGCGGTTCGTATACTGGGAAGACGATACGCATTGACAGCCACGGAATTAAAATTCCTCGAAATTGGTATTAACGTGAGTTCACCGAGTTACGTGGAAATTGTCATAAGGAGATCATCGAGGAAAGCAGTTGATATTGTCTATCGAAACGTAGAAGGAACTCTACGAGCAACGTCACCATATTCAGAATATTCTTCGGAACTCTAAAGATGACAGTTTTATAAGCATTGGACCTAACAGTGAGATTTCATACGATTAACGACACCAAACTCGTAAGTCTCAAATCTTCAAATGTACGCGTAATGATGATCGAATCGATGTTGAATCGTATGTTCAATCTCGATTGATACATCGATCTAACTTTTGATCGATTGATTAAAACTATTGTCGATATAAAGTTTACACAATTTTCAAATATCACGTCTACTGTAACGGATCATTATAAAGTACCAAATGTAATACGTGCTAGCAATGCTTTCAATAAGCACCAACCTCGTCGATTGTGAGCTAGTAGCTTTAAATTTTAGTCTATAATACGTAAGAAAAAATATGTATAATAAATATATAAAAAAATAAAAAGAATTTTTTAATAATTTGAAATTAATGATAGTCGCCAGTAGATGAAATCAAAGAAAGGTTTATCATTAGATGTGAGGTGTTTTATAGCTTGACAATACATTATATTGAGGACGAATATCTGGTGGAATATCATGCACCTCAAATTGCAACAAATAGGGGATTCCGCTGCATGCGTTTATCGTACTTATTCGCATGAAATTTTGTATTAAATCTTGACTTTTATAATTAGGAAACGACTATTTTTATGTTAATAACAAAAATTCTTAAATTATATACACGACTGAAGAAGCCACAAGTAAGTGGCAAAACGTATCATTTCTTGTAAATTCGATTTTTGTAAATATTTAAGAGGTTTTTTTATTCTTTTCATTTTTTTGTAAATTGTTTATAAATTTTCTTTTGTTTAACATTTAGATATCATGGTTTTTAATAAAAATATATAGTCTTCATTATTTTTGCTCAACAAAGGCCTATTATTTTTCCCTCAAAGGTTTATTATATAAATCGACCACACTGGCAATGCTTTATTTAATCAATAATCACACATCGTTTCGACCATGGGTTTTGGTCCTTCTCAAGTGTACTACACAAACAATATAGACAGTAATTAGCGCAATCAATTAGTATTTACAGAAATCAACAAATTATCGTCTCTATAAAATTTTTTAACAAAG